CGAGCGAACGAAAGGTGGTCCCAGCCACCAGGGCTGCAGCCAGCGGTCCCACCAGGACCCCTGGACACAGACCCCGGCTGTCCTTCTGGCCAGGAGGCGGGCAGGACGTTTTGGAACTGGGCACAGAGCATGGCAGCCACAGGCCGGCCACGTGGCCCCTCCCCCAGGGTCACCCGGCAGCCAACACTTCCTGGTCCTCAATTTAGAGCTGCCACTTCTGCTTCTGGGGCCACTAAGCAGCCTTTTTTCAGTACCGCCGGCGTGGCCGCCTGGGGAGGGGCTGGCCAGGGGGAGAGCCCCTGGGGTGCTCACAGCTCCCACACCAGCGCCTGGGCTGCACAACCAGAACTTTCTCAAGAAGGTCAGGAGCCCTGAGGGGGCGGACTAGAGTGGTGGCAGAGGTGATGAAGCAGCCTGGTGAAATGTCAAGGGCAGGGTCAGGCTGGAAGGCGTGGTAATAAATCCGTTCAACTCTGCGGTGCAACTGTGATATTTAAGGCAAGGGGAGAGAGCCTCCAGCCAGCGTGCCAGCCAGGGCCCCGCCCGGACCCCCTACCCGCACCGGCTGCTCTGGGCCCCGTGACCTGCCTGGAAGGACCCAGACAGCACTGCCACCTCAGGAACAGCGTCGCCCCGTGTGCAGGGTGGGGGGCGGGGGGCACTGTCAGTCACATCCTGTGCTGCCGGTTCCAAGGCGGTGCCTTCTCCACCCAGGGGGCGGGGTCACACATCTGAAAGGCAAGAAGTTCCTCCCTCAAGGTGCTCAGGGCCATAAAGGGACGGAGAGAGGGGGCCTCCGGGAAGGGGAGGGGCGCCCGAGGGTGTCAGAGAGACTCAGGGCGGGGAGCTTTAAGTGCAGTCCTCCCCCACGCCCCAGCCCTGCGGCCTCCAGTTTCCAGGCAGCGAGCAGGGATAGTACCCGCCAGAGGCAGGGAGCCACACAGGGAGAGCACAGCGCCCGGGCGTGCGAGGAGGGGGAGGCGCGCGGCCCACCGCCCCCCAGCTCAGGCCCAGGTAACCCCAGGGCCCGGATGGGAGGCAGGAAGGTGCTCCTGCCCCTGCTGGAAAAGCCCCCAGCCCCCAAGCCTCAGGTCCTCCCCACTGGGTGCTCCACCACATCCCGGAGGCAGGTCGCGGACCAGGTCCTCGCCTTGCTCAGACTCAATTTCCCCATCTGCAAAACGGGGTAACCTGCCCCTCCACAGTCATGAGACCTCAGACCATGGAGAGCTCAGAGCAGTGCCTGAGCTCAGAAACCCCCCCAGGAGGGGGCTCAATGCCTCTTTCTAAGCCCCCAGTCCATGGCACCCAAGACACCTGCACCGGCCAGCCTCCACCCTCAGGCTCCAGTGGGGTCTCCCGCATCCCTTCCCTGGGCCCAGTGTACACTGCAGGGCCCCCATAAGACCCTTCCACAGACCGGCAACACACGGCCAGGCCAGGCCAGGGCCGGGAGGTGATACAGTGCTCTTCAGTCACGTATACCCAAGGCCCCTCCCAGAGACATTCTGAAGAGTCACCAAGGCCGGGTGGATGGGCACTGGCAGAGCCCATGGCCTCTGACACTGCAAACCCAGCTTCCGCTCACAGCCCTCACTGACCCCTTCCCAGCCTGGAGACCCCAGACCCCATCCCTGGCTCGCCAGTGGCCCCTCCCTTGATACCTAAGAGGCGAATTCCAGCTCCTGTTATCGCTGAAAACCCTCCCAGACAACCCCCCACCCCCACCCCGGGCCAAATCTCCTAGGCCTGCCCCTGCAGGGCCCCCGGCCCCACTCGGTCGCTCCCCTGGCCCCCCTGTGGCTGGCCCAGGGCTCTGCACCCCCTAGCCCTCCTTCTGGCTGGGACTACGCACCTCTCAACCTTTGGTGCATTTTTCCTCGGGCCCTTCATGGCCCCTCTTTTTTAATGACCTCTTTTTTATTATGTGCAAATAAATCTTAAAGCAGGAAAAATAACGGGAAAAACAAAGTGAATGGATTTGCTGCAAAGACAAACCCAAACCAAACCCTGCGGGCTCCCTGGACTGTGAAGGAGCGCCGGCCGGCCCCACCTCCGTCCCCAGCCTGGCCAGGACGCCCCCTGTCCCTCACACATGGGGGGGGCAGGGCCTGCCCTGGCGCTTCCCCAGCCCCACTGGCCAGCGGGGTGAAGAACAGGCAAGCTTGTTAATCTTTTATCTGGAACCTTGGGCCACAGGCCTGCCTGCCTCGTCCTCCTTCCCGGAGCCCACACTGCCCTCAAACCCTGGCCTCACCCCGGAGGACCTGGTAAATAAGTTACCTTTTCTGCCTTGGGAAGAGGTGCCCTGGGGCCGCTCACCACCGGCCTGGGTCCCTGCGCCACTGGAGGGTGGCTTCCTTGCTCTGCGTCTGGATTTCCCCAAACAGGAGAGGGAAACCCAAGGAGGACAGTTCAAAGGGTGACGTGTGCTCTATGGAGGGTGGGACCCCAAAACCCCAAAAGGGGGGACAGCCACACGTGAGGTAGCCCGCGGCCCGGCTGTGTGTCCGCAGGCTAGGGACTCACCCGCGCTGAGCACGTCTCCTCCCCCTCCGAGGACAGGCCGGGACTTTGGCCTCAGTGGAGACGGGGTCTCCCAGGCACTCTCCGCAGCTGGCAGGTCAGCTCCCACCAGCGGGTGTTCCCAGGCTGGTCCCGACCCAAGCATGCCACCCAGAGCCCCCCGGGGGAACGCGGAGCAGGAGGCCAGCTCGGTTCCCACCACTCTCCCTGGGCCTCGGTCTCTCCTCTGGGAAGTGGGCGCAGGTCAGCGGTGTGCCCAGGGCACGTCCCCCGCCATCCGGGTCCTCCTGTGGCCCCTTCCCAGGCCTCTTCTTCAAGGCCCTTTCAGAAGTGGGAGGGGGTTCCCTCCGGCTGCTGGAACCCTGCGTTCCCTGCAGGGCTGCGTTCCCGCACAATCTCTCCCATCAGGGAGTACAGGGGCAGCCCCGGGACGGGGGCCCGTGGGGAGCGCAAGGGCGGCCTCCGCAGTGAGCTGGGCACCCAGGCCTCCACTCAACAAACACTTAAACCCCTCCTGGGAGCCAGCCTCCCCACCTGCCCTTCACGGCCCACACCTGGGCGATGAGGGAAGAACCTGGACCAGCCAGGTCCCTGCAGCTGGACTTGGAAGAGCAGAGAGATGCGTCCATTTTACGAAGGCAAGGACGACCCCCCCCCGCTAAGCTGTAGGGAGTGCCCAACGTCTCCAAAAGACACCCCCCCCCCCGCAACATCCCTTCACTTCACAATCCCACAGGGACAAGTGGCACACATTTCACAGCTCAAAGGACTGGGGCCCTGGGGGCAGGGGCATGGTGGAGTCCGGACCACTGTTACCCTGGAGCAGAACTATGGCTGGGGTGGGCGGTACCCGGGCCCTCCCTGACCCCCCTCCCTGCCAGTCCACAAGGCCAGGGGCGGGTATACAGCACCCACTAAGCACATGGGGAAACTGAGGCCAAAAGCAGAGAGGCACATCCCAGGTGAGAAGGGTCTTTGAATTCCAAATGCTGGGGTAGGGCTAATGGGCTGGGTCCCCCAGGGCGGGGACATAGGAGACAGGGACAGGGGGTCTGAGGCAGGGAGACAGGGACTGGCCCCCGAGACACCCGCACACCCACCCCCAGGACTCTCAGCAAACAGTCTTTAGTATGCAAGCACATCAGGGCCTCCCCATCCCGTCCAGGGCTGGTCTTGTGCAAGTCCCTCCACCTCTTGGTCAACACCCACCTCCCAGGCAGTGCTGCAACCCTGGGTCCCCACATGCACCAAATTCGGTATTAGGGGGACGGAGAGTCAAATAAACCCATCTCACCAGGCCAGGGGCAGGTCTCAGCTCTGGCTTCGCAGAGTCCAGCACCTCTGCTCTGCCAGCAACTTGCCTCCTTGGGCCTCAGTGTCCCCACGTGAGGAGCTGCTGGCCACGGCCCCCAGAGTGGGACCTGTTTTAGGCAGCACTGGCAGCATCCAGGGGGTGTGGCCTGGGCCAGCCCTGCGCCTGGCCTGGGGCACAGGTGTGCGGGGACCCTCGCGCGTAGGGGGGGCAGAGTCCACTCAAGTGAGCCTCGGGGACATCTGCTGCTGTTTCTAAGAGCTGAACTTGGGGGCGTTCATGCAGTGAGGCCAGCCCCCAAACCTGGGGCTCGGACGAGTTGCCTACACCGCAGCCGAAGCACGAAGGGGAGCCCTCTTCAAAACATTCTCGAAATCAATCACGAAGTACGCCAAGTGCCAGCCCTCCCCGCTTCCGGAGACCCCGGACTTCATCCCGGGCCCGGCGGCCTGGGGACCGCAGAGCCGTTCTCCCGCCAGGCTCAGTTTCCCCACCTGCGAAGTGGGGGTGGGGGCCAGCCGGGACAGCGGAGCACCTCTCCGCAAAGCAGGGCCGCGTCCCCGCGTCCCCCGCAGGGAGCAGGGCGAGGGCGGGGCGGGCGCCGCAGCAGGAGAGGCGCGCACCTGGGCGGGTGGGCGGCTGGCCGCCGCCGCCTGGTTTCGGGGCGCCTGCAGCCGGGCTTCGGCTCCGCTGGGGCGCCGGCCGGGCGGGAGGCGAGGCTCGGAGAGACTCTCCGTCCGGCGGCTCCCGGGCTGTGGGCCGCCCCGACGCGGCCGTGCGCCCCTGCTCCCCGCTGCGCGCTCCCACCCCACGGCGGGGCGCACCCCCTCCCGCCCCAGCTGCGCCGCGCGCCCCTCGGCGTCCCTGTCCGCGAAATGGGTGCAGAGCCCCGCTCGTGGCCCGCAGCCCCGACGCTCACCCGTGCCGTTCCCCGGGGCGGGCTCCGCGTCCACCGCGGGAGCCCCGGGCCTCGCCCTGCGGCGAGGGGTCGCGGCCGCCGCGTGCATCCCTGCGCTCCGCGACGCGCGGCCGGACTGCGGGGCCGGAGCCGGGGGGCGGGGCGGCCCCGGACACGCCCCCAGGGCCCGCCCCGTGGGTCGGGGGCGGGGCCGGCCCCGCGGGAGCCCCAACCCCCCAGGGGCAAAGCCGGCGGTGCAGGAAGTCTCGCTCCAGGGCTCTGCACGGGCTTTGCCCTCGGCCCCCGCCCCTCTGAACACCCCGGTTCCCCGGGCCAGGTGTCCTCTGCGAGCGGCACGTATGAACCCCATCTGTGTCCCTGCGGGCCAGGCCCTCTGCGCTGGGCGTGGGTGCTGTAGGTCTTCTCTGAGGAGCCCCGCATGGTGGGGGCAGATTCAGACCCCTGGGGTCCGGCTGTGCTCACGAACGCGGCACCTGCTCCCTCCTGGCTCGGCCCCCCGCCGTCCCTTCAGCCCAACTCCCCGAGTCCAGCTAAGCCCGGAGCGGCAGCCCACCCCTTCTTCTCCCTCTAACCCCACCCGGCTCCGGCTCAGTGTCCTGGCCTGGCCATTGCCCAGGGGGCTCTCAGACCACTGACATCCCAGCAGAGGCGGCTCTGGGTGGTTCAGGGCTGCTCCTGATCAGGCTTGTCTCCTGCAGAGCTGAAGGAAATGATCTTGGAGGAAAGAACAGCAGATGCAAAGGTCCTGAGGTGGAATACTTGGGAAGCTTGAGAAACCCCCAGAAGTTGCTGGTTCACGAAGCCTGAGAAGGTGGACAGGACTGGCTCTGGAGGGCCTGGCGGGTGGCAGCAAAGAGGTGAGTGTTCTCCTGGGACCACAGAGCAGGGTCCCAGCAGGGCAGCCCATCCCCCCTCTGCTTTCAGAGCCCAGTAGTATAAGTGAGGGGCCCTCCCCTCTCCTGGGCCTGGGTTGCTGTCACCTCATAATACCTGGTCCCTGCTTCAGACCTGTGGACCACGCGTGATGAGTTTCTTCAGTTCCTCTGACCGGGAAGCCAGGTGAGTCCACAGGGCCCACTGTGATCCCTGCTCCCTCCAGACCACACAGGACTGGAGCCCCAGAATTCCCTGCCATGTGCCCCCAGCCCATCTCCAGGGCTTGCACACAGGGCTAACCCTTGTCTCTGCTTGTGGGTGGGAGGGGAGGTGGGTGGGCTGACCCAGGCCTCCAGGAGCACCAAATGCCAGATTGAGCCTGGCCACTTAGGGTGTGTATATTCCGGAAGTGCTGTAACAAGGTGCCACAGGCTGCTTAGAACCACACACATGTTGTCTCGGGGCCTGAGATCAGGTGTCAGCAGACACGCCCCCTCCAAAGGCCCCAGGGAGGATCTAGTCCAGGCCTCTCTCCAGCTTCCTGTACTTCCTGTCCGTCCCTTTGTACGTTTCTGTCTCTGCCCAAATTTACCCTTTTTATGGGGACACTAGTCTTACTGGATTAGAGGCAGCCCTTCTGACCTCGCTTTAACTTGGTTACCTGTAGAAAGGTACTGCCCCCCAAAACGGCATGTTCTGAGGTCCTGGGGTTAGGACTCCAGCACTTGAATTGGGGTGCGTGGGCGGCGGGGCACAGGTCAGCCCCTAACAGATGGCATCAAGGGCGGGGACCCAACTGTTTTGCTGGTCTGCAGCTGGGTAGTGTGTTCTGGGGGTTCGAGCCTGTGGTGCTGGCCCCCTGTACTGTTAGGCAGCTGGGGTGGCCCAAGACCTCTGCCACATCCCGTGGGAAACCGTGTCCCCTATCACAGCTCAGAACACCCACCTGCCACCAAAGCCGTCTCAGAAGCAGCAGGAGGCACTGGGATCGGTTCTCGAGGTGGGTCCACGGCCGAAACGGACCACGTGCTGAGCTGCCCCATGCATCCACGTTTTCTGGGAGAGCCCAGCAACACTGTGTGTGGGGAGGGAAACTGAGGCCCACGCGGGGAAGGCACTTGGCCCACCTCAGATGACAGACTGCGTGGCCACCCCCTGCCCCAGCACCTTGTCCCCTCATCCATGGCAGGGACTGTGACTCTGACAGGCCCCCACCCCCGTGCCGTGAGGCTTAGTGTTCTCGTCGGGGGTCAGAGAAGGTTCTGCCACCATCCTGAGATCAGGAGGCCCTGCCGTGATCAAGGCTGGAGCTGAACCGCCAAGCTGGGCCCCGCAGGCCCCGCCCCTCCTCACCTGCCCCTGGCTCTCCCAGCGGCCCGGGGTGCAGCCTCTCTGCCTCCTGGCCCAGACTAGGAGCAGTGCCTGGACTATGCCAGGGTCTCTGGCCCTCAGGCCTCACCCCCTCCTCCAGGGAGCCCTCCCCACTTACCTGCGAATGGGCCCTGCAGTGACCTCAAAGCCTGTGCTGAATCTCAAACAGAGATGACTGTGGCCACCCCCCTACCCCCCCGTGCAGGTGTGAGGGGCCAGGAAGGAACTTGTGGGCGGCTGTTGGGGAGGCAACAAGAGCCGACACAGATGCCTGGGGAGCTGACTGAAGCCATGGCCTCTGCGCTTGGGGTCTGGCCCGCACCACCTGCGTCTCGGTCTACAACGGGGACCAGGCAGGACGCTGGAACATTTGTTGAATGAATGGACTGGTGGACAGGAAGCAGGGCAGGCAGCCAGGGGAGAGGGTCTGAGGCCCTGGTCTCCGTGTTCTGCTCTATAAAATGGGCTCACACCTGTGTGGCCAGAGAGGTCAAGGGGGTGGGGAGGGTCTCCCCTGGGGGGTCTCCTCTTCCTGAAAGGCTCCTAGGGGAGCCTTCCTCAGCCCTCAGTTTGACCTATGTGGTGTCCGTGGGCCCTGGTGGTCTGGGGAGGGGGTGCTGCCCAGAAGTCTGGATGGTAGCAGGCGTGGCTACTGGTGTGTTTCCCTCAAATCGGATAACCGTAGAAATATAAAATGCTATTTGTTTTCTTTAAATATTCTTTAAAAATTTTATTATTTATTTATTTTGAGAGAGACAGACGGGGGGAGGGGCAGAGAGGGAGGGAGGGAGAGAGAGAGAATCCCAATCAGGCTCCATGCTGTCAGCACAGAGCCCTGCAAGGGGCTTGATCCCACAAACTGTGAGATTAAGACCTGAACCGAAATCAGGAGTCAGATGCTTAACCGGTGCTCCTAAATATATATATTTTTAAGTTTATTTAGGTGAAACCTACACCCAGTGTGGGGCTTGAACTCACAACTGTGAGATCAGAAGTCACATGCTCTTCAGACTGAGCCAGGCAGGCACCCTTTCTTTAAATATTATTGATTTTTTGTTTGTTTGTTTCTAGTCAATAGAAACATGAGATTTTCATTCTAAAAATCTCTTACCATCTCTTACCACGGACAAGTCTAGAAAGTTCCATTGCAAGATGGTTAAGAGTCAGGGAAGCAGTGTGGCCTCAATGGGTTTGGCCTCTTTTTTTTTTTTAATTAAAAGCAGTTTTCAAAACTGTAACCTGAGTTTGAAGCTCCAGTGAGCTGAATGTTGGGGAGAAAATAATTTTCCCCAAAATGTCTTCCGCCAGGCCATGGGGTGCTCTCTTCGCACACTGGCCGTTCAGCCGCCCCACGGGAAGGCGGGGGCTGGTCCCTGCCAGGCCCCGGCTGACGGCTGGGCTCTCCACCCTGGCCAGCCGCCTGCACCAGCCAGCTTGCCTGGGCCTTCGGGAGGGAGCTGGGGGGAGTCACCCCAGGCGACACTGAGCTGCTGCCCACAGGTTTAGAGTGACGCTTGGAGACTTGCAGCAAGGCTCCTGGGGGGCGGGGCGCGGAGACAGGCCTGGGGCCACACACTTCCCTGGAGGCCGCAAGCAGGTGACGGATCAGCAGCCCCTCCTGTAGGCCAGGCCTGCGCCAGAGCCAGGACTCAAGGGAGGTACACAGCCTGATGGGCTGACCCCCCCCCCCCCGCCCCCGGCCACACTGCAGGTCATCATTTCTTGCCTCCTGTGTCTTCTTTGTGCTGAAGTTTCTACAATAACATGAATCCATTCTCTAGTCAGAAAACGGAACTGGTGAAACTTTTAAGGATTATAAATGATTGCACACATTCACAGGACAGTCTGGACTCCACTGTGAAAAGACATGTGATAATCCCTCGTTTGCAGATGGGGAAACTGAGGCATGGAGAAGGGGACTGTCCCATGCAAGGCCACTCACCAGGATAAGAGGATTCGGGGCCTGCCGGTGGGGGCGGGGGGTGGAGGCTTGTCTTCACAGCCCCCAGGGCTCAGGCAAGCTGAGCAGTAGCAAATGCACAGGAGGGTCAAGGGCAATCCCGGGGCTTAGTGCTCATGAGCTGGTTAAGCTGCTTTGAAGCCTGCACCTGCCCAGTGAGGCCCCTGTCACCGGAGAAGTGTGAGAGCCTGCCCCTCACGCTCCACAGGCCCAGTGGCCCCTGCCAGTCCCCCTCGTCACACTGTGGTTGGCCTCGGGCAAGCCCTGCCCCGCTCTGGGCTCCAGTCTGGCCCCCAGCTCCCCCAAGCCACGCCTGCAGACGCGCCTCGGAGGCCCAGGCTTGGGGCCGGTTCCCAGTCTGGGGAGGCATTGCTGGGGCCCCCTGTAGAGCCAGGGAAGCTGGCGAAGGCCATCCAGATAGACAAGTCAGAAAGCCCTGGCCCCTGGCAGGTGCGGAGAGGGCTCTCATTTCACAGATGGGGACACAGCCTGGAGGGAGCGGTCTCCTCTAGCGACACAGCTCATCCCAGACTTTTGCTCCAAGGCCCAGATGCTGGGGCCTGACTCTCCAGCTCTTTGTGCCTCTGTTTTTCCACCTGCAGAATGGGTGTGCTAGATGTGCAGCCACAGTCAGGGCTGGTAGAAGGGTCTCATGCCACACTGGAGAAGCCAGTGTGCTGGACGGCAGGGTTGGGGGGGGGGTTCCTCTGAGCCCCCAGGCTGCACACGTGCCCTTGCCCCAGCACTCTCTGTGCAGATGATGATGCTTTCCAGCAACCATCTTGAGCGCCTTGCTGTTTTCATTTTATGGGTGAGAAACTGAGGCTCAAGCCTGTAACTCACACATTTTGCTAAGTGGCTGCCCCAGGCGGCTATAAGAGACAGAAACCCGGTGTCAGCCCAGGGGCAATGGTCATGAGTTCTGAAAGGCCCTTGGGGCTCCAGGTCCCCGGGCAGAGGGGCCACCCTTCCAGTGTCGCACACTGCTTCCCAGGGACATGCTGGGCCAGGAGCTCACTCGTCCCTGGGCCAATTGCTGCAGCGAGGTGGAGGCATGCCACGGGCCTGGCCACGGCAGGGGCTCCTGGGACACCCTGCTGCCTGCCAGTGGTAATGCTCACGACAGCGACAGTTTCTGCTCGTGGACCTGCGCCCAGGCCCAGCTGCAGAGGGCGCGCCTGGGCTGCTTGGGCTCCCACACAGCAGAGTGCTGGCTCCCAGGAGCCTGTGTCCCGGAACACAGGGAGTGGAAGCTGTCCCTTTCTGCAAGTGTGGCCTGGAACCTCACTTGTGTTCTATTCTGGTCATCAAGCGGCCATGGAGCTCGGGTTTGAGAAGTGGAGACAGACCTCACCTCTCCGTGGTACGATCCCCAGTGAACTTGAGAGCCACCTGAGGCCCAGGCACTAGGCCAGCTTGTCCCAAACGAACTCTCTCCAAATCAGACTCAGACCCCAGATGTGGGCATGACACCGCTGAGTTCCAAGGGACACAGACACTCATGAGCCGACCTGGGGCTCTGGAGGGCTGGTTGTTAGCGCTGGAGGGGATGTAGGCCATGTTGTATTCCAGGTGCTCATCCATATTTTCTAGACTGTTCAGAGGAATGTGTACTTTGTCCATCTAGCCACAGGCTGGAGTGAGGCCGGCTGAGGGCATGTGGGTACAGGCAGCCACCAGAGATGAGGTTATCTCTTAACTCGGCCACGGGAACACACATGCATTCCCGACAGTGGCCCCTCTCGGCCTCAGGGGGTCCAGGCTCACGGCACCTGGGTCTTGCTGCACTCTTTTCTCGCTTGTCCCCTGTACCCCCCTGCTCCTGAGACCCTTGGAGACCACCTCGTTCCTAGCTCCTCTGTGAGGCTCACAGAGGCCAGCGGAGAGGCCGAGGCCCTGATGGTGAGCACAGGCTGGCTCTCAGTGTGACTACGTGCTCAGTGGGGCCTTTGCACAGTGGACAACTCACTCAGCTGAGCACAGCGATCCTTTGTGGGAAGCGTGCTGCAGGCTTCAGAGGGCTGGAGTCTCCCAGGTCCTGCAGAGGGTGGCCACCACCTCAGCTCTGCAAGCCGGACTCAAAGGGATAACGAGGCTGAATGGTAGCTGCTCAGCCCTTTCTTGCCTTCCACGTCCTCTTACCCAGTCACGGAGTGCCGCCCGGGCTCCTCTGGCTGCCGGCCTCCCTGATCCCCCGGGTCTCCAGGGCCCGGGAGTGAAGACTCTTACCCAGCCCTATGGCTCTGCTGGTGTTTCCATCCAAGTGCTAAGCAGGCCCAACCCTGCTTAGCTTCCGAGATCAGAGGAGATCAGGCACGTTCAGGGTGGTACGGCCGTAGACTCTGCTGGGGTTTCCATATTCAGGACCAGTACCACCTCCTCCAAGAAGGCCTCCCTATTTCCCTGGGCTGGGCTGAGGAAGTCATGATCAGACAGATTCTACCGGAGTGTAGGGACCACAGGTGGCTCATCTCTGTGGCCCCACCCCCAGCACGGGCCAGGCACAGGGCAGCCGTCACCAGCAGTTTGCAGAGTCCACGAATGAGAGCTGGTTCAGGTGGGTAATGCTGGTGCGCACACTCCCCCCGCTATTCGTTCTCTCTGCTCACCAGGTGGAGCTGTGGCCCAGATCGTCAGTGACCTTGGCGTTTGGCATCAGCAACCTTGAACTCAGACCCTGCTGCTGTGGTGCTTCGGGCAGGTCGTCTGTGGCAGGTGCTCCCTGTGCACCTCCGCCCATGTCTTCTCAGCCAAGCCCCTCAGGGCCCAAGGCTCTCCCCTGAGGCTCCTCCTGATGATCTGTCATGTTCTGTGACCTGAGGCTTTGACAGGGCCATGCTGATCCTGGAGGGCCCCCCCCCCCCCCAGTGCCTGGAGATGGTAGAGGATGCCCCGGGGCTGCCGTCACATGACCCACGGCCACTTCCTTGCTCCCTGGGGCCGTCCACTTGCCCTAGTCACCGCAGGCCAGGCTTCAGACCACCCCTGAAATTACCCGAACCACCAGTCTGAAGCCCAGCAGCACAAGCTGCAGAGCCCTGATGCTTCCTCCTCACAAACTGAGCTGGGCTCCTGGGCCCCACACAGGTGTTCACGCCGCCAGGCGAGGCTCCACAGCCCTCACCTGGTGACCCCAGCTCTGCCCCTGCGTCAGGCTCAGGGGTCACAGCCCCAGTCTCTCCAGCAGCACCTCGGGTCTCTTCAGACCACACTCTCTGAACAGGGCATTTCCTGATTCAACAAGCTGGCAGGTTCCCTTCTGCCCAACGCCCCCTCCCCAATTTGTCCTCAGCTAATACCCGACTTCGGCCTAGACAGTCCCTACTTTCCACTTGAGGCAAGGGTGGCCTCCCCTCCCTCCCCAGGGGTGCCTTCCTCACCCCCATTTCTACTGGGAACGCGCCCCACACTCCTGTCCCCAGCTCCACAGCCACTGTTTTAGGTGTTACAGTCGCTCAGTCCTGTATCTCACAGAACCTGTGTTTGTTTGCTGGAGCTGCTGTATTACAGGAATTAAAACAACAGAAATTTACTGTCGTGGTTCTGGAGGCAGGGAGTCTGGGGTTAGGGTGAGGGCAAGGCCACACCCCCCCTGGAAGGGCAGGAGACCTTCTGGGAATGTCCTCTCCTCTTCTGACAAAGACCCACTCATGGGGTCGGGGCCCTGCTCTGTGCTTAACCAGCTCCATCTACAAAGACCTTATTGCAAATAATGCAACCTTTTGAGGCTCCAGGTGGATGAGAACTTGGAGGTAACAAACACCATTCAACCCAAGACATCTGTGTTGGCTTCCTTCCCTTCTCCATCTCATTCTCCACCCACCACAGCGCTTCCTAGGTGGCCTCCCCAATAAATTCCTCACATTCAATCCACATAGCAGGGTCTGCTACTGAGAATACTCGAGACCCAGCCCCTTGCGCCGAGCTCCCGGGACCTCCCGTGCTGAGCCCTAGCGCACCCCAGTGTGGGGGAGGATGGCGGCCCCTTCCTCCCAGGTTTGGAGGACACGGGGGAGACTGCTGCAGGCTCTGGGCTGAGGGCCGTACGCACTCCCTGCTCTGGGGAGTGGGGTTCTTGGGGATGACCCCAGATGGGCTGCTCAGTTATCAGTCGTCTGGTGCCCCCTTGGGGGCAGATATTGTGTTTTGGGGGCATTACTTGCCTCGGTTATGATAAGGCACAGGGAGGTGGGGGCCCTGCAGGAGATGGGGACACCTGTCAGAGCAGGCAGAGCCAGCCTTGGCAGGAAGGGGATGGCCTTGTCCCCCTCAGGGTACTGCCGCTGCGGGGAGGCACCTTGGAGGCTGCAGGCTGGTCCCTACAGACGGCGGCTGCGGGGTGAGGCAGGCAGCGGGGAGCAGGAAACCTTAGTGCCCGCGCCGCATTCTCCCACAGCTGCTTCAGGTGAGGTCGGAGATGGCTCTGTTCCCCAGTCCTGGGTTGGGCCCCCTGAGGCCCGCCCTTCCTGTTGCAGGAGGGCCCTCTGGCCCCCTCACCCCCAGGACCGGGCTACCTGGGACCAGCCAGGAGTGCTGCCCACAGCTCCCCAGGAGGCCGTAGGCTGGGGGGCTGCGCTTTGCACCTGTAGGCAGGCACCACACCCAGAAGTCCACGGAGCCGGCAAGGCCCGGCCTGGCCTGGCAGTCCTAGGAGCCAGCAGGGTGGAGGAGGCTGTTTTTTCAGGATGGAATGTGCAGAATGTGGGGTAGGCACCTAGCTCCTCCCCACAACCTGCCCTGACCATGCTCGCCTCTTTGAGCTCTGCGTTTCTCCCTCATAAAGGGGGAGCCCTGGTGGGTGTGAGGGTGTTTGGCCAGGGAGCAGCTCCGCGTCTCCTTATAGCTGGGGCTTAGGGAACACAGAACCCCTCGGGGACCACCCGGAGACCTGCCAGGAGCCCCCTGGCACCCCTCAGGCTCCCCTGGGGACCACTTGGAGCCCCTTAGGGCTCAGAGCTGCACCATGTGGGGAAAGATGGAGTGCTGAGAGGACAGGTGGATACGCCTGGACCGAACACCGCGCGGGCTGCCCACGTGGACTTGCACCTGGGCACACAGACCTCCTTCCTTGGTGCACCAGGTGGCTGGGTAGGAACCAGGATGCCGAAGGGCTAGAATCCCATTGGGGGAGGGCGTGAAGTTCTCAGATGCTGTTCTGGTGGGGCTTCATGACACTTTCCTCATGTCAGACATTGGAGGTGACATCGGCTGACCCAGCCCACTGGGAACCCTGTGGGGGGTGACCGGAGGGGACGGGCCTTGGGGTCCATGACAGCCTCAGTTCCCAGCTGGGCCTCCAGGAAGGATCCACCGGAGGGACCTCGCCTGCAGACACATGCAAGCAGCTCTGGGGGAGACGAGCTCCCCCTCTCCCTGGACGCCCCGTGCCAGGACTGTCAGACCTCAGGAGGTGTGGGGGCCAAGGCTGGAGCTCCCCAGGGCCTGGGCTGTGTGCTTGGGCCTGAGCTGGGGCTTCAGGGGCTGATCCTGCCCCTCAGTGTGCACGTTGGTGTCCCCTAGGGGAAGGGCACAGCTGCAGTGGGCCCAAACGCCCCTCTGCCAGTGTTCCGGGGCATGCCGGCCCCTCTGGGTCTCATTGTGCCAATCTCTGCAATGGGACCAGGTGTCCAAGGATAAGCTGTCTCTGTCCCTGAGACCCAGAGACCACAAGGGAGGCAGCCACTGGGTCTCTGTGAGCCCCAGTTTCCCCTGTAAAACAAAGATCCCAGGCGCAAGATGTCCAGGGGCTGCATGGCAAGAACAGCGTCCCCAAGCCTTCACCAAGGCTGCTGGCAGATCCCACTGAGCACCTGCTACGGGCCGAGCATCTGCAGTGAGGATCTGCAGACTGTGTCCCGTCCCATTTGGCATTCCTCAGCACCCTCCAAGGTGGGCAGGAGAGAGTGCCCAGGCCCTGGGCTTTGGGGTGGGACTTCTGGGGACAGACCTGCCTCCTGGGGCCACCCACCGCCACCCACCCTGTGACTTCAGACTGCGGTAGTTGCTAACTTTTATCAGGATATTTCACAAGAACACTGGCATTTCGTCTCTCGAGAAGCCGGAAGCTGCAGCCTCCGACTTGGGCCATCACAGGGGTTTTCCTGGAGCTCCGCGGGGTCCCCGGGGCCCTGTCTCCATCTACGCCCCCACCAACCCTGCTGCAGCCAGACAGATATGGCCACACTCCCAGGCCCGCCCCGCGGCCCCCACCCCTCAGCAACAGCAAAGGAGACCTTGGGGAGACCCAGGCCCTGCACCCCCCAGACCGCTCAGCTCCCCACCTGTGCCCTGCTGGCCCCTCGTGACCCTGCCCTAGGCCTGGATGCTCTTCCTGCAACAACCCCCCCTTGGGGTGTCCTCCCCTCCTCAGATTCTGTTCCTCTCACGCTCAGGGCACCGTCTCCTGGGCTGTTCGAGCCATTTCCAGTGCCTGGTCTAAAATCAGTGGGCCCTGGGGCTCTCTGATGGACTGCCGTGGAATGTAACTCCCAGCGGACCCCCAAGGTCCCCCCAGTGACGAAAGGGCCCCCCACTGGAATCGCTATGGGAACCTGTGATTTCCACTGTGGAAACGTGTGGGGACCCCAGGCTGGTAGGCAGGAGGAGAGAGCCTGGGTCTGCCCTGGAGCAGAGAACTCACAGGGGCAGCTGTAAGGACCCCACGTGGGCACCTGCTGTGGGGGGGGCTAGTTTCCTCCCCACCCCGCCAAGTGCTGCCGTTCCCAGTGGGTCACTTCCGGCCACCCCCTGGGTCTGGATAGGACTCAGTGTCCTTAGCTGTCAAGTGGGCACAGCTTGGAGAGAAGGGCCCAGTAGGCCCTGCGGACACAGTAGGTGCTCAGTCACCACACAGAGCGGAGACCCTGGGGCTGGGGGGGAAGGGCGGGACCGGGGGAGGGGCCGGCTGGGCCCCAGGCCCTTCACTGCACCACAGGGATGGGCCCCACACCCCCAGGCCCGGCTGTGCCGTCGCCCTCACTCCCTACCTGGCACCCCTGCCCTGAGGCTGTGCCCACCTGCTGGCTGCCAGCATTTATTTCTGCAGACAAGCAGGGCCTGCCACCAGCCACGGGGCGGGCACACAAGTCAGGCCTCTGCTGGCCTCTGCGGACTTTCTCATGGAGGCCCCGCAGGGACGGCCCAGGCCGACCACCCACCTGTCCGACTGGGGAGGTGGGCCGAGGGGCCCGGAGAGGGCGGAGGAGGGCATGGAGTCCGCCAGCAGTCACGTTTCAGCTCATGGGTACAGACGGTGTGGACAGGGTGGGGGTGGGGCAGCAGGGAGGGAAGGCAAGACTGCAGACCCCCCGCCGGCCCGCCCCCCCCCCAGGGCGCTCCTTCTGCCTTCTGGAGCTGGGGCCCCACACTAGACGGTCCGCCAGCACCCCGCTCCAGGCCACACAGCTGGCGCTGAGGGCAGAACTGTGCCCTCTTTGGGGAGACGTGCTGGGTGGGTGGCTGCCCCTCTGGGCCTGTTTCCTCCGCTTCCCAGAGGTCCCTCCGGGTTGAGCGCCCTGTGGCCCATCCTCCCCCAGCAGTCTGGGAGCCCTTTGCGCCTGCACGCAGCCTCTGACGCCACCTCCCAGGTAAGCACGGGCTGGGCCCCGCTGTGGTGGCTGTGAGCAGGGACGTCTGGCCGAGGCTCAGTTCACGGGGCCCCTGGGAAGGCCAGAGCCGGGTCCCCATGGGCAGCGGCACTCAGGGCCTCCAGCCACCGCTGCTGCAGCTCCGCCGACGGGGCGCTCAGGTACAGGGTCTGCTGGGCCTGGTGTAGCCGCCACACGTGTCCGGTGTCCGGCCTCTCCGTGGGGTCTGGCACGCTCACCTTGCAGCCAGAGAGGGGGATGGAGCGTGGCAGCCGGCTGGCCTGCAGCAAAGGAGAGTTGGTTGGCACCTGGGCCTCTGTGGTCTGGGCACTGCTGATCACTCTTTCCCACCGGCGGGCAGCAGAGGGGTGACCCAGAGCAGCCAGGGAAACTGAGGCCCCAGGATCACATGAGCCTGAGCAGGGTTGGTGCCGGGCAGTGTGGCCCAGGACCCTGTGGGCTGCGGGAACCGGAGCATGCCCCCAGTACGACCCCAAGGGCGGGGGGGGGGGCACACCTGGCTGCCTCCCTGCAGGTACAGCACCAGCTCCAGGGGCTCCGACGCGGGGATGGTGGCCCACACCTCACTCCAGGCAGCACCGCTGTCCGACACCCGCAGGTGACCACAGAGCAGGCTGGGCCGGGCGTCCACAGCCAACGGCTTCTGGAGACATGAAGGGTGGCTCAGGCACGGCCTCCCTGCAGGCGTCACCCTCATGGGGGGAGACGCCAGGCTGGCCTAACCCACCCCATGTCGCTGCAAGGTGGCCTTGCTATCAGACTGGACCCTCTACGGAAGGGAGGCCACGAGTGGGGCTGGGACAGAAATAACAACAAAGTAGGGAAAAATGGAACAGACAGAACGAGGGCGTGGCTCACGGGGAAGGGCTGTGTTTCAGCTGAACGCACACCCCACGCACACACATACACCAGGTGCACATGAGCGCACACACTGAGCACACACCCTGTGCACACAGTACATGCACACGTGCCATGCACACACCATGAGCATGAGCGCACACACACACACACACACACTCTCTGTCCTGGCTCAACAGCTCTGGGAGCATGGTCTGTACAGACCGCCAGGGACGGGGCTCCTGTCCAGAACGTGCACAGGCCCTGCCCACCTCTGTGTTGTGCTTGGGGTCCTCAGGCACTACCTCGGGGCTGGGAGTCTCAGGTGCTCCCTGCTGGGTCAGGAAACACTCTCGGCAGACACGGCTCTGCCTGCCATTCTCAGCCTTGAACTCGGAGCACTTCCCACAGATGACCTGCAAGGGGGAGGGCACCTGTGACCCCACCTCCCAGAGACAGAAGACTGTCCAGGAAGAGGCTGGAGGGGCCGAAGGGCCAAGAGAGACGCAGCATGTGGAGGGAAGGGCTTCTCCTCAGGAGCCTCGTCAGAGGACAGGGACCCCGGGATGGGCCCCTGCCAGGTATCCAGGACTTGCCTCCTCACCTGGAGGGCCCAGGGGTCTGTGTGCACAGAAGGAAGCCTGGGAAGAGGCACAAAGCACATGGAAAGATGCTCAACATCGCTAGTCCTCAGGAAAATGCAAATCAAAGCCATGATGAGATGTCCCCTCACACCAGTTCTGTGTTATCCAGAATACAGAAAGTAAGTGTTGGTGAGGATGTGGAGGAACTCATGCCTTCAGCACTGTTGCTGTGAATGTAAAATGGTACAGGTACTGCGGAAACAAATATCCAGGCCTCAAAAAAACTGAAAGTAAAGTTACTCTACAACTTAGCAATTTCCATGATTTCTACTAGATTTCTATTTCTAATTTCTATTTCTAAGGATGATTGAATAGATGAATGGATGGACGGATGATGACCCATCCACCTACCTACCACCCATCCATCCATCCACCCACCCACCCACCCATGCACCCTCTACCCATTCATCCATCTATCCATCCACCCACCTCTCCACCCATCCATATACCTATTTATCCATCCATCCATCCATCCATCCATCCATCCACTTACCCATCCTCCATCCACCCATTCATCCAATTGTCCTTTCACTCGCCATCCATCGATCTGCTCACTATCCACCCAGCATCCACCCAACCATCCATCCATCCATTCATCCACCCATTCACCCATCCACCCAGCTATGCACCCTCTCTCCATTCATCCATCCATCCATCCATCCATCCACTCACCCGTCCATCCTCTATCCACCCATTCATCCATTTGTCGTTTTACTCGCCATCCATCCATCGATCCGCTCACTATCCACCCACCATCCATCCACCACTTATCCACCCATTCACCCACCCATGCACCCTCCATCCACTCATCCATCTATCCATCCACCCACCTATCTACCCATTCATATACCTATCCATCCATCCTTCCATCCATCCACCCATCCACCCATCCACCCATCCACCCACCCATCCACCCATCCACCCATCCATCCATCCACCCATCCATCCATCCATCCATCCATCCATCCATCCACCCATCCATCCATCCATCCATCCATCCATCCATCCATCCATCCACCCATCCATCCACCCATCCATCCATCCATCCATCCTCTATCCACCCTCCCATCCATCCACCCATCCATCCATCCATCCTCTATCCACCCTCCCATCCATCCACCCATCCATCCATCCATCCATCCATCCATCCATCCATCCACCCATCCACCCATCCATTCACTTAAGGGCTTATCTACTTACCCCTCCTCCCCCTAGTGCCTCAAGGTTTCATACAAGAGCATGACAATGGACAACAGACCAGGCTGCTGGTGCTCTCTGGACAAAACAGTCCTAAGACAGCTCTGTGCTAAGACCCCTTGTTAACATATGTTCCACTTTAACAACTTAACCTAGAAATACTTCATCAGGAACAACTTTCCCTTCCAATATTAAGTTCAAAAGCCCATCCTCAACAGAAAGGGTTTTGAGGGTTCTGTGAGGAGAAATGGAGATGGTGACCACTCAGGGTGCTGGTGGAAGGTGCCCAGCACACAGGCCCACCCAACCGTCAGCACCCTTGACGCACCTGGACTGAAGCAGCAGGAGGGGGCTCCCATCACAGCCACACCCCGTGCCTGCCCCCTCCCCCACCGTCCCCTCCACCTCCTCACAGGGCTCCCAGGACACCCAGCTCTGAGCTCTGTGGTTCCAAATCTGGTACTTTTTCAGCCACAACAGTGCTGGTCAGACACAAGTGGACCAGAGAAAGGAGCTTCTATTTCGGACGGGCTGTCGCCTGTCTGCTCCAGGGCGCCACCCTGCTGGAGGGGAGGGGGCGCTGCACCCAGCCGCGCCCGGACTCACCGCCCCGCACAGCTTGCAGCGGTGCTTCCTCTTGGTGATGGAGTTGAAGGTCTCGCCGCAGCTCCTGCAGCCCTGCTTGTCCTTGTCACGCCTGGTCTTCGCGGACCCCCTCCTGGGCTCGGGCTACAGGGGGCAAGCGTGCGGCGGCAGCTCGGTGAGCACGCGGGCAGACACGCCCAGCAGACTTCTGCCTGCTGCGCAGAAGTCGGAGCCGAGCACGTCACCTCTGCCCTCGCCCGGCCCCGCTCCCCAGGCCGACCTGCGGTCACCGTCGCCCACAGGGAGGGTCTAAGTGGGCCTGGGACTCTGCCTGGACTGACTTGGCCTGTGTGGAGGCCAACCCAGCCGCCCAGGTGTGGGGGCCTGTGCCCGGCATGGCCCGCATTGCCTGGAGCCCGCGCCCCTGGCCTGAGGCTCAGGGGCCTGCACGGCCCTCCGCCGTCCTCTCGCCCAGGGCTGCCAGGGGATCAACAGGAAGTCAGGAAACGAGTGTGGTTTGTGTTCATAGAGATTAAAAAGCCTGAGGACGAGTCACATGAACATCATAAAGTGCTTTCAGTTTAAGCAAGCCGTGTTGGATCCGGAGGGCAAGGCCAGGGGGCTCATTTTCCTCTATTGCTTCAGTCTGGCCTGTAACACAAGGATTTCTTTCATTGTCAAATGTGTCCACTTTTTTTTTTTTTTAACTCCAATGCTGCCCAAAAATAAGGAAGGGGCCCCTGCGTGAAAGGCACAGTCAGACGACAAGTGGGCGCCCTCTTCAAGGCTGCCCAGGCACCACTCAAGGAGCCCCACGGGCAGCGCGGCGAGCAGCCAGTCGGGTTCCGACCAGAAAGGTTATTTACGAGCAGAAACAAGACTGCATGAAGCACGCCCGGCGCGGCTACTGGCTGTGTGGGGCCCGGGTGACTTTCCAGCCTGGGTCTAACTACAGTCGCTCAGCTGCTCGCTAGAAACATCTTATAGAAGAGGAAGAAACCAGTCAACAAGCAGAACGCAAGGCCGCCTCTCCGAGCAGTCCCCTCACCGCCTCCCAGCCCCACCGGGCACCGCGGACAGTAGGGCGAGCCGGGGGAGGGGGTCTGCGTGCTTGGCTACCGGTCCCTTGCCCCTGTTATGTCAGCCCCCAGGACCCCAGTCCCACCAAGGCAGAGGCCTTCTCACCAGCAGGGGGCAGGTGTGATCAGGCGCGCACTGCGCAGACAGCGCAGCGTGAGGCTTCAGCGGGGCTCAGCAGGGCCGCCTGGCTGACCCGTTTTCCCCATCTGGGTAGGAGTTGTACAAGGCGGGGGACAGCCCCCAGGCCCGGCGCTGCCCTCATCAGGGACGAGACACTGAACGAGTCACTTCTCCCCGAAGCTCAGCATCCCCCGTCTATACAGTGGGGTTAGCAATGGCTCCCAAGCCCCATCACAGCACGTGGACCCTGACCTACTTGGCCAATTACCCTGTTATGTCCCCATTTCTCTCCACCTCACTCAGGGCCCCTCTCCTGGAGACCATCTCAGGACTGCTCAGGGCCAGACGGGGGAGGGACGGGGCCTGGGGTCAGGGGCACGGGCAGGGAGAGACGGGGGGAACATGGCCATTCTTGGGGCATGCCATGGTTCAGCATCCCTCAGAGTGACCCGCCAAGGGCCCACGAGGTGCGAGTGGCCAGCAGAGCAGCAGGGTGGCTGGACATGTCCCTGGCCCACGGGCAGAGCCACAAATCCCAAGGGGCTTCCAGGGCGTCCCAGGGGAAGGGCTGGGGAGGGCTGGGGAGGGCTGGCCCGTGAGGGCTGGAGGCGGCTGCTGTGGGGCTGGGGTGCAGGGCACCGCCTGAAGGTCAGTGGAACCAAGGGCAGTTTCCACAACAGGGAGGCTGGGGCCCGGGGCTGAGGCCCCGCAGCAGCACCCTCACCCCAGGCCACGCAGCTCCTGAAACGGACATGGACACTGAGGGGTCAGGAGCCCACCCGCAAGGCTGGGGACAGGGTCTCCTTGGCTCACCACGCGCCCTTTGTGGACGGGTTATCAGATGAGTGGACGAGAGCAGTGCTCATCTGTTTGATGCTGAGACATCAGAAAGGACTGGGCCAAGTCCCCAGGCAGGTACAGGATTGTGGCATCTGTAAGGCTGCACCCACAGCACCCCACACGCCAACGTGGGTGCGGGAGGGGGTCTCTGCCCAGGGCACTGGGGTCTGATTCACTTGGTGTTTTCTGTCCAGCAGCACAGAAATAGGAGAAACAATCGGGCAAAACTTTGTCCCCAACAGGTGGCCTTACAACAGCCCCTGACGACACCTCACACCTGCCCGAGGTCCTGCAGGGCGTGGACGCGGACCCTGGGGGCCCCTCTGCTCCCCATGGGCAGCTCTGTCCCGGAGCCCCAGAGGGGTCCTCGGGTGGAAGGGCAGTGCCAGGCCGTGGGGTGGGGGGGCAGGGCCTTGCATGCCGCCTCAGAGGGTCCACACGTCCCCCACACACACACACAGGTCTGGGCCCCATGGAGCTTCTGCGAAGAGCCACGTGACTTGCAGAACACTGAAGGCTTCAGCCCCTTGCAAAACTTCCTGGTTTGGGTTTAGCTCCTCTGAGGAAAGGGTGCTTGCGGAACCTCATGTCTGAGGACACTGGGGCTCAGGAAATGAGACCATTGCAGAGTGTGGGCTTACCGTCCTCCCTGAGTGTGCTAAGAATAAGCTTATGTCTGTAGCAAGGGCCAGTCTCTCGGTGTCAGAATGAACCTTCCGCTCATTTCTGAGCACCTTCTGTAAAGGTGCACGGAGCGGGTCTCGGTCAGGCCCTGTATGGCCAGGGCTCCGCCCATGCTGAGCTGCCCCAGGTCTGGCACATCCCTGCTCACAGGACACACCAGTGAAAAAACCATGGAGCCGCTGGTCTGTTAAACTGTATGTCGTGGGCCCCGGATAGGTGTAAAGGCCCAGGGGCACGAGGGGACTAATGCATTCTTACTAAAAATTCAGGCCATGACAGGAACCCTGCTCCCTGTGGCCTAGGAGATAACTGCTGTCTCCCAAAAGTCTCTTCAGATGCCCTCTTCCCAACGTGGGGAACGAGCCAGAGGCTAGGCCTGGCTCCCGAGCCTCTCTCTAAAATGGGGCTGCCCAGGACAATGACCAACCCACAAGGGCCACACAACCTCACTGGGCCTTGGTGCTGAATTCAGGAGACTCAGTAGCAATTCCAGGCAGTGCCTGGGGGGGACGTGACCCTGCAAGGTGAGGCTGTGGGAGGGGCAGACGGACTCAGGTGCAAACCCTCAGGCAGCCCGCCCAAGCACAGGCCTCCAGCCCTTCCCCTCCAGCACGCGGGTGCCACACTGCCTGGTGTCTCAGGTCACAGCTGTCACCAGCATTCATGACTGGTCAGCCAGTGGTCAATTAACCACGCTCAGGCACCCACACTCTCTCTCCTACCTAATCCCCCAACCAGCCGGAGGAGAGGTGCCTGTCCCTGTCCGTGGACAGGGCCATAGGCTGCCTCACTCCTTCCCCGCCTGCAAGGCCCCAGGTGGTGAGAAGGCGAGCAGGCTTGGAGTGGGCGTCTCGGGCACCACCCCCTTCCTGGGCCTGCAGCAGGGACCTCCGTCCATCCTCCTGGGCCCAACAGATGGGGCGGATGCCACCTCGGAGGAGCCTTCCCTGAGAGCGCCCCTGCCTGTCTTCCCGAACCCCGGGGCTAGACCTTTCCCCTTTGGATGTCCCAGCTGCATAAAGGTCAGGCCCCACCCTGAGTCGCTTTCCACAGAGGAGCCCAGCTGTGCGACCTCTCCCCAGTCCGGGCAATGGACGCGTGGGTCCCAGCAGGCTCCCCCGGGTCCTCTCCCAGCAGGGCCAGAGGCTGTCACTGAAGAGACTCAGGTCAGATGGGGAAGCTGGCCTCTGGACCCTCACCCCCAGGGCACCCTGGTCTGACCTCACCCTCCACTCCCCACCTCTGCCGAAGCTAGAAGGGTTACTCACCTCTGTGGTAGCCCCTCCACCACTGGCTGCCACTGCAGGCTCCTCAGCACTGGCACTCACCACCTGGAAGGGGCGGAGGTGGTCAGCAGGACTGCAGGTTCCCCGGCCCTGCACGGCCATTAGCGCAGCCGCGACCCTGGGGAACACCCCTGCCCCTCCCGCTGACCACAGGGTCAGGACGGTCTGTCGGGGCCCAGCGTTCACCGGGACTTTGGGGGAACTGCTCCTCTCGGGCCCAGTGTGGGACACCCCTGCAGGGTCTGTGCCCCGCCGTGCGGGGCAGGGGTGAGGGCCCGGCTCCCCCTGCCCCGCTGCAGCCACAGGGGTGGCTCGGAGTCTAGGCTGCCTCTGCTCAAGGAAGCCTGGGACTGATGCAGTTTCCTTTCAAAATGTGTTCATGAAGCGGGAAAACAGCAGATTTCATGCAAATATTAAGTGGTCTGACAGGCAGACCCAGTAAGGCTGTGGGAGGGCCAGCCATGCCTGGTGATGGGGACATGGGGACCTGGGGCTGTGGGGCCAGGCTAGGCCGGGCTTCCCTTGGTTTCAAGGGTGCCTCCGGTGGGGGGTGGGAGGGAGGGACCCTTCCTCAGAAGGCAGTCACGGCTGTGCCCACAGAAGGCGGCCCCCAGTGGGCGGCTGTGGCTGACTCCCCCACCTGGCCCTGGGCAGGGACCCTGCCTCCTCCGTGTGGGGACAGGCGAGCTCCTCATGCACAGTGTCACCCAGGCCCACTTCTTCTTCCTGCCCAGCTGAGCGCTGACCCACCTGGCTGGGCCCCGTGGCCCCCATGACAGTGCTCAGTGAAGGACAGGCAGTGAGTGCACGTTTCCATCTGCCAGCCCCTGCTCCGTCCCTCCCAGAGGCCCATCCCCTCAGGGTCCCTGTCTGCCTCCAGGCACGAGTGCTCACAGGGGACTCTGGAGCGGGAGAGGGGTCCTCATCCTGGCCGAAGGAGCCCCCGAAGGCCTTGAAGGTCTGGCTGTTCTGCCTGTGCCTCTCGATGGTGGCCTCAATGACCTGAGACGAAACCACAGAGAACCAGGGCCCTCAGTGAACACATCCAGGAGGGCGGGGCCAACGCACCTCTGTCCCCACAGACAGATCCTGTGGCCACATGCGGCCCCCTGATCCACGCCCCTTTCACAGGTCCCAGGTCCACCCTGCATGCCAGCTGCCCCCCACAGCGTCCAGGCTGCCGCAGATGCTTCCTGGACGTTCTGTATGGATTTGCGGACACGTGTCCATTTCCCACATCAGCAGTCCCACCTCATTGCTGTTTGAATCTCCTTTTTCTCTCCTTGCCCAGATTTCTGTTCTAAGAATTCTGGAAGTCACCAGGCCCTCTGGGTTAGGCTCTCTGCCTCGGCCCCTGCTCTGACCTTTGCCCTCACAGCTTTAGTCATTGTTCCCCTTGTCCCCACTGTGGCCAGGCCAAGTCTGCTCTGGCTGCCCAAGGGCACTGGCCACCTCTCCGCTGCATGCGGCCTGCCGCTCACGCTGGCTGGCCGTGGGCTCCCCTTGGGCCTCCCAGACAGCAGAGACCCAGTGCTCTGCCTAGCCGCCTCCAGGCCCTCCGTGTTTATTTGTTCACTATGGTGCCCAAACACACGAGCCGACTCAAGGGCCTGTGGCATCTGATGGGACTTAATGGGGGTCACTTCATCTCTGTGAGGGGGACACGAGTGGGCAATGCCTGGGCCACTCCATCCCTTGCTGCAACATGAAATGGCCACACTGCCCAAGAATTTGGTCATTTGATTACTTTAAAATTGTAAAGGCTTCACCTGAATCCATTCTTTTTTCTCTTCTTCCGTCCTGTAAAAACAAAAGCAGTATTTTATCAACCTGGTCTTAGACACCATTAATCACTAGACTCCTGTCAGGCCTCGCAGCACATGCCTGAGCAGCTCATGGCCTCCACGTGCAGCTCAAGAGCTAGAGGACTGTCCTTGCCTGGCACACTGTGGGCAGGTGTGGGCAGGTGGAGTCATGTGACACCAGTGGAGTCAGGTGTGTCCAGGTGGGGGCAGGTGTGTCTAGGTAGCGGCAGGTGTGGCTACATGGGGTCAGATGTATCTAGACAGGGTCACATACGGCCAGGTACGGTCTGCAGACCCCTCCACAGAGGACGTAAATCAATGCCTCCCCGGACCACAACAGGTATTACAAAGACCTCACGTCACCATGGAAACGAGACAGGGTCTCCTGTACAGTCCTGCCCCTCAGAGCACAAGCCTGGCATCAGTCACAAAGCCTGAAGCAGATGTGCTGCTGTCTGACCAACTAACTCTACTTCAGGAAACTTCCTGAAGGACAGGCTGACAAACATGCACAGGGCTGGTGCAAGGATGCTGCGTCTAGCACCTTCTGCAGCATGAAGACGCAGAAGCTGACCGCTGCTCATAAGGGAGAATTTTGCTGCTTTCAGAAATGGGGCTCGGATCTGAGACGACTTCTTTCATACCAGGCAGAATGGGCTACATAGTGAACAACCATGCGTGATTCTAAAACTCAGTACACGTTCATACGCGGAAGTTCTGGAAAGTCACTTCCAAGATGATTAAGAGTGTCTTCTGGGTACGGAAGAGGAGGAAGACAGCGGTTTGATTTTTACCAACTTCCCCTTAGAGCTGTTACATTTCAAACCACAAATAAGCGAATAACATGAGACAAAAACAACACGTCACAAGGTAACCCTGTTCAGAAAAGGAAGCCGTCTGCTACAGTCTCAGGTCACAGCCGTTCCCACAGCAGCAGGCGCTGGGACAGCCACCCATACCGAGTCTGCAGCTCCAGGGACCGCTTCCTTCCCGTTATGACGAATGTGTGGGGTGCGTTTGGCTTGATGGTATCTTGCACCTAGATGCACAAGGGTCAAGGGTGAAACAAAACCACGGTTACTCAGCGGGCCCTGAGCAGCAGCCCCATGCTCTCAGACATGGGGGTCTTTCCTGAGGAGCGGACACGGGTGACCCAGCAGGTGGGACACTGGGGGAGCTGGTCCGTGGGGGAGGGTGGACCACTGTCCTGCCCAGACAGGGCTAGCACCTCTCATCTCCGGCACTTGGAACTGTGCTGGCCAAGCCGGCCTGCCTGTGGGGCTTCCCAGGAAGTCGGCCGCCAGCCCCTGACAAGGAGGGGAGCCTTCCCCCACCAAGGCACTGCCCCCGAGAGAATGGGAATCTCAGAAGGACCTGGAGGATCTCCACCACTCCACCAGCCCCCGTGATGGGAAGCCACCCTCATCCCCCTGGTGCCCCACCCCTGAGACCCTCAGGCCCACCAGTGTCAGAACTACAACCCAGCTTCAGGGAGATACGGGCCCACCCAGAATCTGGGCTTGGGCCTCGTAGCAGGAATTTCCCACATGCTCCAAGGGTGACAACTTCTGTGTTAGCACACTTAGTTAATATGCCACTGATTTCTTACACGAAAACATTACAAAATGAGTTCTTCTAACAGCTAGAAAAGGTTTTTTTCCTGTAGTTTTGACTTTTAATGATTTTTCTTAAGCCTGGACTCAGAGACTTTTAAAAAAGGTATTTTTTCTTGAATCACTAAGGCAAACCTTCATCTCTTAAAACTGACTGGGCACTGATTTAGTGAGGGGTGCCTGGGTGGTTGACTTAGCTAGGCATCCGACTCTTGGGTTCAGCTCAGGTCATGATTTCACAGTTCGTGGGACCGAGCCTGGGCCTGGAGCCTGCTTAGGATTCTTTCGCTCTCTCGCTCTCTCTCAAAATGAGTAAATCAACTATAAAACATTTTTTTATTTAGTCAGTATTTTCAGAGTGCCAGTTAATTCAGAGCCCTCCCCCACAGAAAAGGGCACTGATTCCAGCCCCTGGAGCCCCTGTGCCAGGAAACACGGAGGGGCTCAGGGAGCACAGGGTGGCAAGCCCAAGAGGTCGTCTGGACCCTGGGCCTTCAGAACCTCATCTGGACTCCAGGACCGGCAGGAGAGGAGACAACATGGGACCAGGGACCAGGCAGGGAGAGCACCGTGTCCACGTTCACCCCAAGCTTCAACTTTGTGTCCCGAAACGGGCCTTGAGCATCAACCTCACAGGGACGGAGGTGGCCCAGGTTCTGGCGCTGTCCTTCATCCTGCGAACACAGGCCAGCAGCACCTTGGCAGGCAGGCCAAGTACAGAGACAGGGATCCTGTCCACACCGCCAGGCTGAGTGGCCCCCGAAAATGTGTAGGCCATACCTGAGTCACAGAGCTGAAGCTCGAGAAGTGAGCGGGAGACCAGGTGCAGTGTGGCGACGCTGCAGCAGCCGGAGCTTGGTGTTCGCACCCTGTCCCGTGCCCTGCCAGGGAGCGGGTGGGAGACAGGGGCCCACCCACCTGGAGGTCCGAAATGTCCATCTTCTCCCGGACACTGAACTTCTGGCCCATGAGCCGCAGCTTGGGCACACAGTAAAGGATCATGCTGTTGAACTGCAATAGGGACAGCACCGGGTGAGGGGTGCCTGGTACCCCCACGGAGGGCACCACAAAGAGGGGGCTTGGCATGGCCCCGCAGCTGGGCTGGGCGTGGCTCCGGGGCAGGCAGGGCAGGGGCGTGGCGCGGCAGGAGGCGGCCGGAGGCGGGGCGTAGGGCGCGCTGGGCAGGGCCTGTCTCTGGCGGGGGGGGGGGGGGGGGGGGATGGGTACATAAACCCACGATGGGCGTGGCTTTGTGCCGGGGAGCGGGGCTCTGTCTGGCAGTTTGGGGTTCTGCGAGGGGAGGGGGCGGGGGGCGTGGCAGCTCTGCGGCAGGGGCATGGCCGGTAGGGGCGGGGCTCCTTGGTGGGACTCTGCGGCCAGCCCCGGGGGTGGGGGGCTGGGGGGGGGCTCTGTTGGACAGGTCGGGGTTCCCCGGCGGGGGGCGTGGCGGCAAGGGGCGTGGCTCCGTGGCTGGGGCGTGGCTCCCCGCGGGGGCCCGTGGGGGCGGGGCTCCGCTGCGGGTGGGTTAGGGCTCGGGGAACCGGGCTGGGCGGGCCTCACCAGGAAGAGCTGGCGGTCCTGGGCAGTGCCGTTCTTGGCTGACAGCTTCAGGATGTGGCCCTCCTTGATGAGCTCGTTGGCGGGGTTGACGATGTCCTCCTCGCCACCGAGTCGCTCATACACCTCCAAGAGCTTGTGCATCTTCTCCTGTGACAGACGCGGGGCTCAGGCCACCACACCGGCTCGGGGACCCCAGGGCCCCCCGTGGCAGCCACCAGGCAGGTGCGGCCCAGAAGCAAGATGGGGCAGCAAGCGAGCCAACGAAGGGGTGAGCGGGACACGCCAGGTGCCGCTTAGGCTGGGCGTTGAAAAATGAAGTGAAGTCGCCCCGCAGAGAACGACGAATAACAACCACTAACAGCACTGCGACGCACCACGCTGGCCTCCTCACGCTGCACACATAGCAGCTCAAGTCCAGCACAGACCCTATGAGGTAGGTGCCATTTTATCCCAGTTTACAGACAAGGAAACTGAGGCATGGAGAAGTCAAGTGAATTTCTGGACGTGTTTCTGCTAGAGACCAGGGACTGGTGCTCTCATGACCTCTACACTGCACACCTGGTCCCTGTGGTCGGAGAAGGTATTTCCAGCGGCTGCAGCTTTTGCCCTGGACCGTCATCACTGTGTGGTAACCTCGCCTGGTTCCTGTTCCTCTCAGACCACACGGCCCAGGGCCCTCAAGACACTGGACCTCTGCAGGCTGCAGGTCATCTTCGTCTGACCTCAAGACTGGCTGGGTGGTCACATGGCCACCTGGGCTGTGACAGGAAATGGTTGGCAGCTGTGGCCCCAGCTCTGAGCTGAGAAGCCATGGGCCCTGCCCTGCGCTGCCAGCACCAGGGGTGGACCTGGGACCAAAGGAATGAATACAGCAGAAGGCAGAGCTGAGCCTACAGGAACCTCAACTCAGTGACACTCTAGAGCCTGGACCGGCCATGCCACAGCAGCCGTGGCCCGGAGACCTGGGCAATCTCAGCCTGCACACCTTGAAGCAGGCTGGTTTGGCCAGCCCTCTGTGTCTGGTACAGACACAGGTGGTAGATGTGGGTGTGGGAGCAGGAGCAGGCAGGGCAGGGTTAAAGGGCCTTGCATGCACAGGGGGGCTGCACATGCACATGGGGAGCTGGGCATGTACCTGGCATGTGCTGGGGAGCTGGGCATGCACCTGACGTGTACTAGGGGACTGGGCATGCACCTGGTGTGTACTGGGGGACTGGGCGTGCTCCTGGCGTGTACTGGGGGGCTGGATGTGCACCTGGCGTGTACTGGGAGGCTGGGCATGCACCTGGCATGTACTGGGGGCTGGATATGCACGTGGCATGTACTTAGGGGCTGGGCGTGCACCTGGTGTGTACTGGGGGGCTGGGTGTGCACCTGGCTTGTAGTGGGATGCTGGGCGTGCACCTGGTGTGTACTGGGGGGCTGGGCGTGCACCTGATGTGTACTAGGGGGCTGGGTTGTGCACCTGGTGTGTACTGGGGGGCTGGGCATGCACCTGATGTGTACTGGGGGGCTGGGCGTGCACCTGGTGTGTACTAGGGGCTGGGTGTGTTCCTGGCATGTGCTGGGGGGCTGGGCGCGCACCCTGCATGTACTGGGAGGCTGGTCATGCACCTGACGTGTACTGGGGGGCTGGGCGTGCTCCTGGCGTGTACTGGGGGGCTGGATGTGCTCCTGGCATGTACTGGAGGGCTGGATGTGCACCTGGCACACACGAGGGGGCTGCACATATATGTGGCTTGTGGGAAAGCTGGTGTGCACCTTGGAGGGAGTTCAGGCTAGAGGATTCTGAACAGAGAGTGACTAAACAGGTGCCCCCTAGAAAGCTCGGAGCTGGAGAAGTGTGGATCAAAACTGGGGAGACTCCTGGGCAGTGGGAGAAGCCTGGGCAGTGGTCCAGGTTGAGCGGGGGTAGGGCCTGGCACAAGCGTGAAGAGGCTCCTATGAGCACACACTGATAGTTCCCTAAGGCCATGCCCTGGGGTCAGACAGGACCCCACACCAGAGCCCCTCACCCATCACACCTGGCAGGCAGAGACCTTGCAGACTAGGGGAGAGAACCGCTGCAGGTGTGCTACAGGCGGGGCAGGAGTCCACCCTGAGGGGAGGCCTCAGGCCTTGTGCTGGCCCCTCAGAGATGGAAACTGAGTGGTCCCCCAACGCCCACAGGCTCCACGTGAGCTCGTGGCCAGGGAGTTCCCAGAAGCAGCTCTTTGGCCTCCACCACATTTAGTGGGGAGGCGGGAAGGGAAATTAGACAGAAAGGACCCAGGGTGAAATGTGACCTGTGTAGGTGGCAGTGGGCCTGATCTCAGGCCGATCTGTCCCCAGGGCCCCAGAGCAAACCTGGGACAGGCAGGTAAGGAGGATGCGGGGCTGGACCTACTGGAATCAGCAGCGGCCTCTCCTTTCTAACATTTGAGACACATGGGGTCAAACAAACATTTCACTTCTTTTCCTCTCAAGAAATGACCGTGCCCATGTGAAAATAAATTAGGTCTCGGGACTGGGAGACCCCAGGGCCAGCTGACGGCACAGGCTCAGCGGGGATGACATCACAGGTGCAGTGCAAGGCTTACAGGGCTTCCCAGCGAGGCCAGGGAGTAGGATTCTCCTGTGAACTGCCCTGATCCACAACTCTGGGTAAGGACTTAGAAATTCTGCCCGGCCACTGTGCAGGCCAAACAAGGGACAGACCCACCTGGGTCACAACAGGGCACGGGCTCCTCCCCCAACTCCGGGCTATGTTTGGAGGTGATGAAGTTTGGTCACAGCCCTGATGAGAGGCCCCAGAGAGGGCGTTCTGCCTGTGTGTGCAGACACACGAGAAGGCCACTGCCCGCAAGGCCGGGACAGAAGCTGCGGCGCCTCCCTCTGGGGTCTCCAGCCTCCAGAGCTGCCAAGCACACACTGTTGTGTAAGCCCCGACTGCGATATTTTGTGACAGCAGCCCGTGCTGAGACAGCTTCAACGAGTGAACAAGCGAGTGAATGAATGGTGGGTCCTGTTCTGAGCGCTCTAAGCAGAGTGACTCATTTGATCCCACAACAGCCCCGCGAGACAGGTCCTGTCAGTGACTGTTTTACATACAGGGAAACTGAGGCCCAGGGCATTAGACAGCTTCCCAGCAGCCACAGAGTCAGTAAGGGGCAGGCCTGTCGAGCTCGTGGCAGAGCTTGTCCGTGTGGGTGGCATGACCCTGTGGGGCCCTCGGGTATCTGCCATGATCCCCACACTCACCATTTTCCGGATCGCGGCATTGGAATGGTTGGCAGCGGTGGAGATGAGCTCCAGGGACCCTGCGGGAGGAAGACACGGAGTCAGGCTGCGGGGTGCCTACGGCGCCACACGTGTCCTGGCCTCACCAGGTGCCCACTGCTCCTGCCCTTTCCCCGCCCAGGGAGGGCGGGGCCCTGCAGACACACTCTGTTTTGTGGGGGGTCTGCGGGAGGTCTGCCCGGCCGGCACCCCACTCCCCCTGCTGCCCGCCAGTTACTGCCTGTGGACCAGGAGCCGCCCTTCCTGAGGCCCAAGCTCAGCCAGCATCCAGCGGCACCCCCCCAGAACCAGGGTCCACCCCTCATGGTGCAGGGGAGGCAGGTGGTTCTCTGTCCTCAAAGACTCAGTCACTTCCCGAGCTGTGCTTGGGGGACACCTGGCTGTTGCCCCTGCTCTGTCCCTGTGTCTCCTCTCTCTCTGCGGTTTTCTAGCGGAGGCGCCACCTCCCACTGCCCAGGAGCCTCACTTTCTGCATCCTTCCGGTCAGGGGCGTCTCCTGGGAGCCTCTTCAGATAGTCCTTGAGCAGCAGCTCGTAGCGAGGGACCCTCTGCACGGGCTCCAGCATGTGGTGCTGCAGCGTCAGGTTCCCGCACACCTCTTGCTTCTGTGGGAGAGACAGACAGCACGTGGGACCCGCAGACACACGCCTGGACCCTGGGCCTCCGCCCTGCTGTGGCTTCACAGGACTGCACCCTGCGGACTGCAGGCCACGTTTACAGCGGGGTGAGCCTAGGTGTGGGGAGGGAGGTGGCACGATGGAGCATGGGCCCAGGCCCCCCGGCTGGCTCCTTCATACATCCTCGCTGGAGAAACCAGTCTCCTTGCACCAGCCGGCTTCCCTCCCTCGCGGGGAGCTCCTCCACTCCATCAGGGCTGAGCCTGCTCCCTCCCAGACATCCGTTCTCTCCGAGTGCTGCTGGCTGTTCTCATAGCAAAGCCACCCTGCCTGGTGTAGGGGTGGGCGCCCAGGCCCCACGCGCCCCTGCCCAGCAAGGCTCACAGGCCCCCCCCCCCCCCGGTCCTCTGCTCCCACGGTGCCACCTCTGTGCTCCCCTCTCAGGTCCCTTCCCCTTGCTGCCTGCCTCCTCTTCCTCCCAGATGAGGAGGAAGCACTCCTGCTGAGGCCCTGCTTGCCTCTTACAGAGTCCCCCTGGCCCCTGCGGGGGCAGCGCACTGTCCACCCGCTGCTACCCCCCCCCCCCCGCACTTCTGCCCACTTGAGGCCCACAACGGAACCGTTTCCAGCTCAAAGGAGTTCCCAAGGCTTCATGCACAACAGGGCCGGAGAAACACTGGTCTGCAACTGCACAAACACGATTCTCCCGGGGGGAGGGGCTATCAGGGGTGAGGAGGAGCCAGATGTTCACAGAGTCTCAAAGTATCTCCCTGCACGAAACTTACTGGGACCACGGAGGGCACATGCTTCCTGGGAAAGGTCATGGGGCAGCTCACGCTCTAGCAGGCGGCCATAAAGAACCCACCACACATGCACCCGCCTAGACCTCCGTCCCTGTGACAGCCTGCGCAGGCCGATGGTGCCCACCCCACTGCTGGGCCACCGACCCTGGGACACAGGCGGTGTGGGCTCCTGGTTCCTGCTGGTCACTAGGGCTGTGGCTCAGCCACGGGCACAGCCTGGGAGGCTGGAGGGGGTGTTCCGTGGGGACGGCTGGGGTGGATGTGGCTGCTGGGGGGTGGAAGGACTCAGCATCAGCACTGTCCTCTCTGGGGAGAGGTGGGGATGCTGAGGGACGCAGGGGGAAATCACGGGCGACCTGACAGCTGCAGGATCTGGGAAAAATGCAGTGTGGAAGAAGGTGTGTATGAATGCATTTGTGCGTGTGCGTGTGTGTGTCCGTGTGTGTGTGTGTGTGTGTGTGTCCAAGCGTGGCGCTCAGGGTAAACAGTTGGTAAAATGTTGGGACAAGCAGCTAACTATTCACAAAAATAAAACTGGAATCTTACCTCTTACCACAATCCATGGAAACTATTCTGGAATAGCAATTCTAACTTTTTGAAAAACGAAGATACAACATTAAAGGAAAACATAATTTATATAGTTGTGGGACAGGAAATGCATTTATAAGCATTGCTTTGAGGATTTTTTTAAAGCATTAATTTATTTAAAAAACTAGTGAAAGGGCACCTGTGTGGCTCAGTCAGTCGGTTATGTGACTCTTGATTTCATCTCAGGGTTGTAAGATCAAGGTCTACATTGGGCTCTGCTCTAACAGAGTGGAGCCTGCTAGGGATTCTCTCCTCTCTCTGCCCCTCCTCTGCTTGTGCTCTCTCTCAAAACAAAATAAACATTTTTTTAAAAAAAGAACTAGTAAATGTGACTACTTAAAAACCAAAAATTTTGTATGGCAAACAACATAAATGAAATTAAAAAATAAAAGACCAATGGGGTAAATAACTTGTAGGACACAGAACAGAAGATGTTCTTAACACATAAAAACCTGGGGCATCTGGGTGGCTCAGTCGGTTAAGCGTTCCACTTTGGCTCAGGTCATGATCTCACCATTCATAAGTTCAAGCCTCGCATCAGGCTCTGTGCTGACAGCTAAGAGCCTGGAGCCTGCTGTAGATTTTGTGTCTCCCTGTCTCTGCCCCTCCCCACTTGTGTGCATGAGCTCTCTCTCTCAAAAATAAATAGATTTTTAAAATTATATAACAAAAGAAAGAAAATTCCATTTAAAAAGCATGTAAAAATCTGACAAATTGATTTAAAAAAACAAAAAACACGTGACACTGAAGACACTACTGCAGCAGAGACCAGGCAGCTCGTGCAAAGAGAGAAGGAAGACGGATGTGCATCTCCCCCTGCGCCCGCATGGCTGGCAAGTGGGTGGTGGAGGGAGGCGTGGGCACTGGACCCAGACTCTACCATGTAACCATGACACCACGCTTCCCTTTGAAGCACGCTTCCCTCCTGTGAAACGACAGCTAGGATTCGTGTCCCGCGGCTACTGCGTCGAGCTTCTGGACACAACCCGCTGATTCACCGAGCTCCCTACGCTAGAACACGGCCCAGCGCCGAGCGCCAGCGGGCGGTGGCCCTACCTGGATGCCCTGGACGACCTCTTTGAAGAGCGGCGAGCGCTGGGTCCAGGTGCTCACGAGCTCCACAGCGCGGTCAAAGTTTTTGACATACTCGCCGTACATCTTGAGGAACGGGGCCAGCTTCTGCAGGATGTCTCCAAGCCGGGGGGTCGTGTCCCTGTGCGGGGGAGACAGGCCGTCCGAGAAACAGCTGGGGCCGAGGGGCCAGGGGTGGGCCAGGGACTGGCAGGTATCTGTGGGCCAACAGCCCAGCTCCCAGCTCTGCGTGATGGGGGGCACACCAGTCACCCTCTCTGAGCCTCACTTCCCCCTCTGTGTCCCATGGGCTGGGAAATGGCTTGTTACACCAGGTAAATGAGAGAGGCACGTGGCCTTCGACAGCGCGGGCCCAGGACCGCTGCTCCAGACCAGGGGTGCCAGCGGTGACGTGACCACTCAAATGGCAGGCACTCATCAAAGAGCATCCACGAAACCCCTGTTCGGCCATTAGATGAGCAGATTTTAGGAACAACGGGCCGAGATGACGCTGGCCTGCGAGGGAAGCAGCAGGGCAGTGCTGAAAAGGGCATGGACGGGGATGTGAAAATCAACTTCAAGAGGAAAAATGGAGCAACCGTCTTTGATCTTGGAACTGTGGCGAATTAATCACAGGACCGTGCACTGGGGGACATCGCTCAGAGGCTGGCCACCAGTGAAGGCGGTGGGGCAAGCCACTGGGGAGCATCTGTGTGGCTTCTCCAGAGCCTGGAGGAGAAAACCGACTTTGCAGCAAGTGTGGACAGTGGGCCTGGGGACGGGATCCCCTGCACTGCAGGTGAGGTGTGTCCTTACAAAGGACGGACAAACTGCCAGGGACACTCCCTGACACCCGAGTCAAGGCTCCTGGTGTCTGTGCTCTTAGCGGCCTGGCTTCAGCTGGGGAGTGGGCTCTTGGGCACCCACCCGCAGGCCTGAGACAGGCCAGAGAACAGCGGGGGCAGCAGAGACCCCAAAGCGACACAGCAGCTGGAGCCGTGGGGGAGCCTCACGACCGAGCTGGCCCTCTGCTAAGAATGTCCAGAAGGGGCAGAGGGACAGGGCCACCCCTGGGGGCAGCCGGAGGATCCAAGGGGCACTGCGAGGTGGACACACGTCGGGTTTTACAGCAAAGGTGGAGAATACACGAGGAGGGAAATGCACCTGCCAGCACTGTTAACTTGCTGTTAGAAAGCCCACAAAGCCCCCAGTGTGTATTAACGTCCCTCTGATTTGCAGATGAGGCAGCCTAAGTGTGGGGACGCTGAGAAGCTGGGTCAGGGACCCTGCACGGAGGGAGCCAGGCCCCCACGTGCCTCCTGTCTTTCGGGCACACAAACCAGATTGAGAGGCCGCCTGGCCATGAGAATTCCACAAAACCACCACGAAAGAGTTGCCAGGAGCCCAGGCTCCACCAGCATCGAAGCCAGGTTCCCTGGGAGAGGCCCCCCCCACCGAGGGCCCCGGGCCACGCTTACCACTCCTCCGTGATCCGTGTCTGCAGCTCCGGCAGGAGGAACTGCCCATGGAAGCGATAGATGGAGGAGATGTTGGAGAAGATGCCTGTGGTGACTTCCGGGGGGATGCCTGCTTCCACCAGCTGAGTGCAGAAAACCTGGGGGTGCAGAGGCCCACAGAGCGCTGAGCAAGAGCTGCCATACACAGCATGGGCGCATTGGTCCCGTGAGGCTCTTGGGAGAGGCTGCTGCTGCCTGTTTCCTTCATCAAACTGGCTCAAACTCATGGTTTTAAAGCGATCTAACTTATGGCTGGGGACGGCAGGTGGGGCAGACACAGTCCCCTGCTGATGGGGACAGGCCGTCTTCCCTCCACCCACCTGCCACGGCACCTAGAAGGTCCCGCTTTCCTTTCTCTGCTCTGTGAGCTACAGACAGAGCAGCACCTAGCACTTCTCTGAGTCCCCCCGGGGTTTACTTCCTGTGCCCATGAATCCTGTGCTGCCAGGGGCAGGGAGGTGCCAGCCCCCGTCCCCACTACTCGTGCAGAAAGATTTCCAGAGGCCGTTCACAACGCAACTGCCAGGCAGAAAGGCCCCACGGTGGCAGGACAAGCCCTCTGTCCCAGAGCCCCAGGCTCAGACAGAGAAAAGGGGGGGTCTCTGGATGAAGGCCTGGCCCGCGCGACGAGACGGGGGCGCTGCCTCGGCCACTGCGCGCCACACACACCCTCACGTGCACGAAGGGCAGGCCCCGGCCGCGTGCGCTACCTGATCCAGCAGGTGCAGCCGCCTCACGTAGGTCTCCTCCGTGTGCAGGAGCTCCTGGGCGATGTGGAGCAGCTTCTGGGGCTCGGAGCGCTGCAGGGAGACAGGCGGGCTCTGACGCCGGGCCACAGGGGTCCTGGAGGGCCCAGGAGGCCAGGAGGCCTGGGACTTTTCGGGGAGGTTTCTGGGGAAGGCACGGCAGCCCCTGCCGACCCCCCACCAGAGCTTCCGCAGCCCAGAGACCTTGGCCACAGGGCAGGTGGAGCAGCCACAGCAAGAGACCTTGTGGCCTCTGTCAGCGAGACCGCAGCCCAGAAAAGAGATATTTAAGGTGCTGAAATTAAAAACCTGTGAACCAAGAATACTGTATCTAGGAAAGCTGTCCTTCAAAAATGAAGAAATTAAAAAAGAATCTCCCAAAAACCCAAAAGACGAGCAGTTCACTATCCCCAGCCCTGCTCTGTACGAAACGCTGGAGTCCGGCAGGCTGTGAAGGGGCGGCGGCCACAGCGGTAAGGAAACCCACGCACAGATGAGACCGGCATTCCTGTAATTCTGGTGCATAAAATTTAAATGACAAAAGCCATTAGAAAACTGAAAATCTACGCTAAAAGGTAAAAACTATATCAACGTGTCATTCGTGACATCAATAACGGAGTGGGGAGGAGGGGCTGCTGTAAAGGAGTGGGTTTTGCAGTCAAAGTTAACTTGTTACCAGTTTAAAATAAAATGCTATAACTTAAGGTGTTCTATGTAATTTCAATGGTAACCACAGGAAAAATACCTACAGAACATACACAAAAGGAAATGAGAAGGGAATCAAAACCTACCATTACAAAAATTCAATGAAAAATAAGAAAGGCAGTAGGAAAGGAACAAACAACCCACAAGACATGTAGAAAACAATGATCAAAATAGCAACAGTCGTTCCCAATCGGTAATTACTTTACTTTTTTTTTTTTTTTTTAATCCTTGAGAGAGAGAGAGACAGCATGAGCAGGGGAGGGTCAGAGAGAGAGGGAGATACAGAATCTGAAGCAGCTCCAGGCCCTGGGCTGTCAGCACAGAGCCTGACACGGGGCTTGAATCCACGAACCCCGTGAGATCATGACCTGAGCCGAAGTCTGATGCCCAACCAACTGAGCCACCCAGGCGCCCTGGTAATTACTTTACTTTAAATGTAAATGGATTAAACAGCCCAAAGACACTGGCCTGAAGGGATTAAAAAAAATACCATCCACTAACCACTGTTGTTCACAAGACACTCACTTTCGATTTAAGGACGTAGGTAGGCTGAAGGTGTGAAGGATGGAAAAGATCCTGTGCACCTAGAGACCAAGAGGGAGCAGGAGTGGGCACGCTGGTATCAGACAAAACAGGCTTTAAAGGAAAAACTGGGGGCGCCTGGGTGGCTCAGTCAGTTAAGCATCTGACTTCGGCTCAGGTCATGATTTGGCGGTTCGTGGGTTCGAGCCCCGCATCAGGCTCCGTGCTGACAGCTCAGAGCCTGGAGCCTGGTTCAGATTCTTTGTCTCCCTCTCTCTGCCCCTCCCCTGCTCATGTTCTGTCTCTCTCTGTTTCAAAAATAAATAAAAACTATAAAAACAAGAAAAATTAAAAAATAAAGGAAAAGCTGTTACAAGACAGAACAAGGGACAGGATATAATGATACAAGGATCAATTCACTGAGAAGACACAACCACAAACCTCATAGGTCCTGAACATGGGAAGCAAACTTGACAGAACGGAAGGACGACACAGCAACGCAGAGACGGTAGGGACGTGAGCGCCCCCCCCGCAGGCAGAGCCCCGGGAAGGAAACAGGCTGTGAGCACCACTGTGGGCCAAACCACCAAGCAGACAGACGCAGTACCCTCCACCCAAATCAACAACCTAACTTTACACCTCAAGAGATGAGAAAAAGAACACACTAAACCCAAAGCAGTCAGAAGGAAGGAAATAACAGAGGTTAGATCAGAGATAAATGGAACAGAGAACAGAAAAACAATGGAAAAAATCAACAAGACTAAGCGTTGTTTTTTGCAAAGGTCAACAAAATTGACAAACTCTTAGCTAAATTAAGAAATAAAGAGAGTATACTCAAATTACTAATATTAGAAATAAAAGAGAGGGGCGCCTCGTGGCTCAGTCGGTTAAGCGTCTGACTTCGGCTCAGGTCATGATCTCACGGTTCGTGGGTTCGAGCCCCGTGTCGGGCTCTGTGCTGACAGCTCAGAGCCTGGAGCTGCTTCAGATTCTGTGTCTCCCTCTCTCTCTCTGCCCCTCCCTTGCTCATGCTGTCTCTCTATCTCTCTCTCTCTCTCTCTCAGAAATAAATAAAACATTAAAAAAATTTAAAAGAGAGAAAACATTATACTGATGTCACAGAAATAAAAAGGATCATAAAAGATTGGTATTAACAATTACACTCCAACAAATTGGACATCCTACAAGAATGGATAAATTCCTAGAAACACATTAAGCCTGAGTCATGAAGAAATAGGAAATCTGAATAGACCAAAAATGAGTAAGTAGATTGACTAAGCAATAAAAAAACTTCCCAAAAAAGAAAAGCCCAGGACCTGATGATTTCATTGGAAAATTAATATCAATCTTTCTCAAATGCTTTCCAAGAACTGAAGAGGAGAGAACAGGTGTGCCCGAGAGGTTCAGTCTGTTGAGCATCTGACTCTTGATTTCGGCTCAGGACATAATCTCATGGTTCATGGGATCTGGCCCTGCACGGGACTCTGTGCTCACATTGAGGGAGAGTCCTGCTTGGGATTCTCTCTCCCCCACTGTCTCTGCCCCTCCCCCAGTTGTGTGCGTGTACTCACGTTCATCCCCCCCCCTCAAAACTAATAAATAAAACCTTTTAAAACGAGAGAACATCTCTGCACTGTGAGGCTAGCATAATTACTCTGACACCAAAGCCACTCAAAGACTTTAAGAGGAGACTACAGACCAACCTCCCTAAAGAACACTGACGCACAAGCCCTCAACAGAACACTAGCAAATTTAATTCAACGGTACGTAAAAAGGACCATATGCCATGAGATTTATTCTGGGATGCAAGGGTGCTTCCAAGACGAACATGCAACACACAACATTAACACAATGAAAGCCCCATGTGATTATCTTAATTGACGCAGAAGCCGCATTTGACAAAACACAATCCCCTTTTGGGACGAAAACAGCACACTATGAATACACGGGGACGTCCTCCACATAGTAGAGGCTGGCCTGATGTACGTGACCCCCCACATCAGCATGCCTTCACTCTCCCTGGGCGGGGGGACATGAGGCGCAGGGTCCCAGGGCTCCTGGTCCAGCACCTGGTGCCAAGGATGGGCCAGCGTGTGATGTTCTAACCAGACACCCAGGACGGCAGACAAACCCAGGAGTGTTGGCATCTCCATATTAGAGACGCGAAGACATGGGCCTTCTCTGGCAAGACCCTGGCCTTGGGGACACCCCCAGAGTCTGTGTGGGGAGGATGGGACAGGCCTGGGGTCTGCACCTGCTCCCAGCACTTGGGATGCACCGTGAGAGCCACGCTGGTGTGGCCTTTAGTAACCACTTCATTTACTTTCTGTATATAAATCTTCTAAATGTTTTATTTATTTTTGACATAGAAAGAGACATTGTGTGCATGAGTGGGGGAGGGGCAGAGAGTGAGGGGGACAGAGTATCTGAAGGAGAGCCTGGTGTGGGGCTCGAATTCACAAATGGTGAGATCCTGACCTGAGCCAAAATGGGATGCTTAACCAACTGAGCCACCCAGGTGCCCCTATTTTCTGTATTTCAGGTGTTTGGACATCTTGGGACCTTGCTGACCCCAGAGCAAGGCCCCTCTCAGGGTTGGCTGTTTCCTGCACAGATAGAAAGGACCCACGTGCAAGCATGTCTTTCACACACAAGCCCGCCCAGGCTGATGCAGACATCTGGGAAAGCCTCTGCCCAGGGCCCACTGAGGTCATTCAAGTTGGCCGATCCTAAGCCTGCTCACCCTGCCTCACCTGTTCCCTCCCACAGAAAACACAATATGCACTTGCCATAATTTCCACCCCCTCTGCCTCTTGACCCACTCTGGTCCTGCCCGTGTGGCCCTGTGGCCTGGCCTGCCCCCTTCTTGGGAAATGTAAGTAAAAATCCATCTATTTGTAAGTAAGCTCCTTGCTCAACGTGGGGCCTGAACGCATGACCCGGAGACCAAGAGTCACATGCTCTACTAACAGAGCCAGCCAGGCGCCCCGCCATCTTTGCCAACGGCCGTCGTCTCCTAATCTGTTGGCATTACCACACCCGAACAGTAACCAAACCTAGATTAAACCATGGCTCCCGCCTGTCCCCGGAAAGCTGGCTCACAACAGCGGGGGTGCGTGGGTGCCCTTTACTCTCCGGGCCTGTCTTCTGTCATGGGTCACGGTGGCCAGTAGGATCTCCCCCAGGTCTGGGGTCACCCGTGCTTCTCGTGGGGCCCGTAGGCTGTGCCACCCTCCCCACACACAGGCCGGCTCTCTGAGCCAAGGGCCCCCTGCTTCATCTCCCCGTCCCCACACGTCCCTGCGCAGAGCCCAGACCCCGAGATGCTGACAGGACGCAGACGGGCTCTGTCACAGCACACCCGTCATGCGTGGGCTCATCTCCTTCCCCGGGGCGTCCGCTGAGGGCTTGGCTCCTGTGCCCAGGCTCCCCTCCCACCCCTGCCAGGCTCCACGGTGACCCTGGGGTTCCCCATTCCTAGTGTACATGACACGCATGCTGCCTTCCTCACGGGGGCCTGCGAGGCGGGCAGCCGGTCCTGGTGCAGGGTGCGGTGGCGGCTCCATCAGCACCCAGACCACCGTCACAGCCACCGGGGGTGGAGCCGCTGTGCCCACGCTAACCTAGGCTTGGGAGTGGGGTTGTCGCTGGAGGTGCCGGGGCCCCTGCCCTGCCTGCCGGCCTGTGGCAGGGCCTCTCGAGCGCGCTGACGTGCCCCTGCTACTGGAACCAAGCCTGAGCGGTGTCCCCGTGGCCCTCAAGGCCCTTCAGAAGACCTCTGCTGCCTGGAGGGGTGGCCTACCTTGGCCGTGTCCACACGGGCCCTCGGGGGGCTGTTCTTGGGGTCTGGCTCCTCACCGCTACCTTCGCCCGCGTCGTCGCTGTCGGCCTCCTCCCGCAGGGCCCTGCCTTCTGGGGCCACTTGCGGGTGTAGCCCCGGGACTGTGGGGACTGGGCTGGCCTCGCCACCCTCCTCACAGGGAAAGTGCTCGCCAGCCACGCTGCAGGATGGACTGTCGATCCCACTGTCGCGGTTCGGGATCTTAGCAACACCGCTGGGCTCCCCCGCGGGGCCTGCATCTGGGGGGCCGTCCCCTGCAGTCGGGCTGCCAGGGCTCCCGGGGTCAGGGTCCTTGCAGGGGCCTCCGGGCCCAAGGGGCAGCGCCTGGAACTTCCCTGGATCTGCCCTTGGCAGCTCTGGGGAAGAAGAGTCAGGCCCAACGCTGGGCTCCTCCAGGGCCGCACGAGGGGCTGGGGCTGTTGAAGGCCTCTCTCCCGACTCCATCCTCAAAGCTGAGCTCCGTGGGGGCTAGCCAGCGGCTTTCTGGAGGAGGAAATGAGCAGGGTCAGTGCCAGCCAGGCATGGGCCAGCCCCTGGGCACAGGCATGTCCCCCCCAAAGAAGAGAGGAGGTGGGAGGCGGCCGGGTGTGGAGTGAACAGCCCACGCAGCTCCAGCTGGCTCCTATCCAGGCACACTTTTAGACATCAGCAAATGGAAAGCATTTTACTTTTTAAATAATTTTTTTACATTAAAAAAAGAGAAAAAACTGAGAAAGGAAAAGAAGAAAGGAGAAGAGGGAGGAGGAAGGAAAGGGGAGGAGGAAGGAAAGCAGAGGAGGAGGAAGAGAGGGAGGAGGAAAGGAGGGAGGAGCGGGGAGGGGGAGGGGGGAGGGAGGAGGAGGGAAGGGAGGAAAGAGGAAGGGAAGGGGANCCTATCCAGGCACACTTTTAGACATCAGCAAATGGAAAGCATTTTACTTTTTAAATAATTTTTTTACATTAAAAAAAGAGAAAAAACTGAGAAAGGAAAAGAAGAAAGGAGAAGAGGGAGGGGGGAGGGAGGGGGAGGGAGGGGGAGGGAGGGGGAGGGGGGAGGGAGGGGGAAGGAAAGGAAGAATGGAGGGAGGGAGAAGGTAAGGAGGGGGAAGGAGGGAAGGGAGGAAAGAGGAAGGGAAGGGGAAGGGAGGAAGGAGGAGGAAGGGGAAGAGGAAGAGGAGGGAGGAGAGAAGAGGGAGGGAAGGGAGAAGAGAGAAGGGAGAGGAGTCCCGTACTATGAAGACACCCGCTGCTCAACACATTCAAACTACATGCACAGAAGTCATGGTCCTGAGGTCATGGGCAGTGGATTAGGTCTGCAAAGTGCTCTGGCTTCCGAGTGCTGTGTACCCCATGATGTAGCTTTGAGGGGACGGGTCCCCAGCATCACTGGGGCTGCGTGTCTGACAGGTGACCAGGCACCTGCCACAGACCTGGGCCAGGGAGGCCAGGGCTTTCCCCCCACATTCCTCCACCCACCAGAGCGCCCTGGGGCTCCTTCCTGCTTTCACCTCCCACCTCTCCTGGAGGACAGGGAGTCAGGTGTCAGTCTGGGGGGTGGGGGGGCTGGGCCAGGGGAGATGACAATCCCCAAAATCTTCCTCTGCCCCCACTCACCTGATGTCCAGGTGCCCGGGGAGGGCTCTGCACCTGGCTCCCTGCTGGCTGCGCTCTTTCCGGGCCTGGTTGGCAGCTCAGGCCGTGAGCGGGAGCGGAACTGGCTGAAAGTCTCCTTCCTGCCCAGCACGTCAGAAACGGGGGTCCTGAAACACACGGTGGGAGCGGGAGCGTGAAAGCCGCCGTCTCTGCCGACGCCGGGATGCCAGGCTGGCTCCGAAGGCAGGGCTGGAAGGGCAGCTATGGCCCCGCCCAGCGTGGCCAACCCTGCAAGGGTGACGGCCACAGGTGGACGGAGCGCAGGGGCAGCCCGAGGGCCAGGACTGACTGTCCTGCCCGTGGCGCCCACGCCTGGGAGTCAGGGCCACACCCGGTGTGCAGGGAGCCGGCGGGCACCCTCCCCACACCTCCAGACGCGGCACCCGGGGCCCACGCCCACAGTCAGCCCGGCGACCAACAGCTTCTGCACACGCTCCCCTCCTCCCTCGAGAAACAAGGCTAAAGACCCACCAGTGGAGACACAGCTCCCTCTCGCTCTTGCGCAAAACCCAACGGCGTCCAGAGCCTGCCCCTCGGTGCTTCAGGGCAGGAAGACCTCCGGGCAGAGTCCTGAGGCAGCAGCTCCGCCTAGGGCTCCTGCGCGTGTGGCCAGACTGCTCTGGAGTGGCCCTTTTCCTAAGAGACACCAGGCCAGAGCAGGGGACAAAGTCAAGTTCCAGCAGACACTCAGGACACAGCCCTGCGGCAGGCTGAGCCTCCATGTGTCCAGCACGGCTGGCCGGCACGAGGTAGAGCCTCCGAAACCCACCGCCTCTGGTCAGGGTGGAGACGGCCCCCACCAGGCGGCAAAGCACAGTGCCCCCAGCAGGCGGCAACTGGCACAGCGTGCACTCTGTCACCCAGCAGGACAGGGACCTGGGTGACAGTCCAGGAGAACAGGAGGTGGAGGTCGCCGGGCAGAGCACTGGAAGGAGCCCCGTCAGGGAGCAGAGCGCTGCAGGGCCCCCCAAGGAGGGCTCAGTGCACGCGGGAGGGCGCCACGAGACCGAGGAGCCGCTGGAGGGAACAGCGCTGGCGCAGACTGGGCAATGCCCATCCCCACGGGGGACCTACGGGGAGCCCTGCTCAAGGCCCGGGAAGCCCCCGTTTATATGCAGCATAACTGTCCCTGAACAACGTTCAGGAACGGTGATGAGAGCACCGGCCAGGGCAGCTGTGGCACCACATCCTACTCTGTGCACAAGGTCGGCAGAGATGGGGACGCACACATGGGGGGGAGGGCAGTGGCAACAGAAGCCATCCCAACCGAAGCACAGAGATAGCGAGATGTGGAGACACCCCGCTGACAGTGTGCATATAACCGGACTCCCCAGGTATGTAGTACAGTCCAAAAAAGGATTGAGCAGGAAATGCTTGAGTAAATAATGACCAAAGTTTTTCCTGATTTAATAGAAACTATAAATCCACAGATCTAAGTAAGCACAAGAAATGTTTGCACTTAAACGTCTTTCCACAGAGAAAACACTAGGCTTACAAAGTTGGTGAATTCTGTCCAACATTAAGGAAGAAATGATACCAACTCGACACAAACCTTCCCAAAACACTGAGGGAAAGAGAATGCCTCCCAACTGCACGGAAGGGTCTGGAAACGCTGTGCTGAGTGGAAGCAGACACAGGGAAGGTACTCATCTGCTGTTCCACCTAGAGAGTTTCTGAGACGCACACTATGCGGGGGATCGAACATCCCCTTTATCCAGGGTGCTGGGACCATTTAAGGGGCAGCCAGCAGGCAGGTTGGCAGGTATGCTGTCGTCCAGGCCTGGGGCCCTGGCACTGCCTGCGGCCTGCCCTAGACAGGCTGGGACAGTCCTGCAGATGGACCACAAGGCCAACCACCGCCTAGCTCCACCCAAGGCCAGATGTCTGCTCCCGGGAGCGGCGCAGGCACCCCGCTAGAAGCACCAGCGTCCCCATCTCTTGCCGTCTGGCCCCTGGCACCCTGTCAGACAGCAGCTGCCGGAGGTGTGAGCCTGAGAAGCCTCTGGAACTGTCCCAGCCCCGGCTGGTAACGGCCCCAGAGACACCCTGAGTGGGAGCCACCTGGCTGCACCCCGCCAGCCCGAGCTGTGCGAGATGCTCAGTGGGGCTGCCCTCTCCCCCACCAAGCTCAGGGGGCGGGTCACCTGCGGCAGAAATCTGAACAAGACTGAAAATACCACAGGACGGCACCAGGGACCTCCGTGCCACCACAGCTGCACACAGGTCCGGGCTGGGAGACACGGCGGCAGAACCCAAAGCTGGCGGTGAGAAAGGCCGGTGGCCCAGGGCTGCTTCGCTCCAGGTCAGGCACTCGTCTTGGGCCTCAGCCCGCGGTCTCTGCCCCGTGTGCTGAACACACAGACATGGATGCAGACGGTGGGGTGCCACATACCCTGCCACGTGGCTGGGGTCGGTGGGACCTCGGGGGGACCTCTGTGCAAGCTGAGCACAGAGGAAAGGAGACAGAGCCACCGGGTGCTGCCCCTGCCTGCAGGGATGCCCGAGCAGGCTCACACCATCACTCAAAGTTACTGCACTTTTAAAAACAGTTTGATGCCTCCTTTTTAGAAAACTTAGGAATTGTGGGAAAGCAGGACATTAATGCCCCCTGTCCCCCTAGCACTGGGACAGGGGCTGGATGGCCCCCACAGGGCTCTTGGCTGGGCTGCAGCCTTTCTGGGAGACACTGCTCTCGTTTCCACGCCGCACGCCACCATGAACGCGCTCTGTCCTGGAGAATGTCCTCCCCTCCAAGGCCGGGAAGCAGAGACTCGAACAGGCACTTGCACAGCCGTGTTCACAACACGTTATTCACAGGAGTCAAAAAGGGGAAGGAGCCCAGTGGCCACAGGGGATGAGCGGATAAACAGCAGGTGCCCGGACCGTGTGACAGTTACTCGCCCGGTGAGAGGAAAGAGACCCCGCCACCCGCCACCTCACGGATGGGCCTGGAGGACAGGATGCTGAGCGCAGATCCCACCCACAGAGGCCCCCGGGATCATCAGGCCAGAGACAGGGCGTGGACGGTGGGCACGGGCGGGCGGCCCTGTTTCTAAGTCTCCCTTCGGATGAAAATGTTCCGGACGAAGGGTGGGGACAGTTGCAGAAGGCTGTGAACACACTTAATGCCACTGAAGCAGGCCTTTATTTATTTATTTTTTAATGTTTTTCTTTATTTCTAGGAGAGAGAGAGAGAGAGAGAGCATGAGCAGGGGAGGGTCAGAGAGAGAGGGAGTCACAGACTGAAACAGGCTCCAGGCTCTGAGCTGGCAGTCAGCACAGAGCCCGATGCTGGGCTCGAACCCACGAACCGCGAGATCATGACCTAAGCGAAAGTCGGACGCTTAACCGACTAAGCCACCCAGGCGCCCCTGAAGCAGGCCTTTAAAAGCGGCTTAGGTGGCATAGATGGCAGACTTTGGTTACCTGTACTTTACTACACACACACACACACACACACACACACACACTACACACACACTACACACACACACACACTTAAATAAAAGTGTGTTTCAGAAAATTCTCTCAGAAGTTGTGCGAACGAGTCAGCAGTGACTCACAAGCACCTGAAGCGTACTGCCCCGCTGCCCGGCCCACGGGGACACTCGGGGGTGGCACGGGCTTGCCCGGAGCCGGCGGCCCGACAGCCTCTTGACCTGATGCTGCTAAGCCACCACCACCGCCCTGGGGTCCTGCCCCCCAGAGACCTGGCCCCGGGGGCTCCAGCAGACGTGGGGGGGGGGCTGACACAGAGGGGGGAGGGACCCTGACACAGACCTGCGGGGGCCTGACGAAGATTGGGGGGCCGACACAGACCCCAGGGTGGATGGGGGTGTGGACCTGACGCACGCGAGTCACGCGCGGCGCACGGAACGGTCTGCACAGCGTGCGCACGGCACGCTAGGGAACGGCACAGGAGGCGCATGCGCACAGATTGCACGGCATGCCGGACGCGCGCACAGGGACGCACATGAGGGGTGCACGGCACGCAGGTGTATGGCCCACGCACGGGACGCACGGCACGCTGGCGCAGAGCACGCGGGACGCATGCGCAGGTCGCACGCGCATGGTACCCACGGTTCACAGGACGCACGGCACGGGGGCCCCAGGCGCCCAGAATGCACGTTACCCGCGATGCACAGCATGGGCGACACACAGCACGCGGGTGTATGGCACGTTCACGGGACGCATGGCACGTAGGACGCAGAGCATGCTGGGTGCACGACACACATGGCGCCCACCCAGGACGCCTGTCACGCGGGACAGCATGTGGGGCGCACGGCACGCAGGTGTACGGCGCTTGCGCGGGACGCACAGCATGCGGAGCTGGCTGTGCCTGTAAAACCGACCACCTCGACTGTACTTACTGTTTTCTTTTCCTTCCTGCTTTTGTTTTCCTCTTGAGCTTTCTGTGCACGTGCCTACTTCTGTTTCCTGCGCTTTGTATTCGCTGTCCCTGCGCGCTGCAGCCGTCGCCCGGCCGCCCCAGGGCGGCAGAGCCCGTCCGGCGGAGACTGCGCCTTGGGGCCGTGTGGGTCATCGGCCACCAACTTCTGGCCCAGCGCCGGGCCACCTGCTCTCTGGAGGGTGTGCGGCCCTACCTTCAATTACGTTTGAAATTCTCACTAAAACAGCTAGTGAAACAGGCAGACGAGAACCTTCCCAAGGCTAATGGCACAGAAATCCTGCCCCGTGCTCCTGAGGAGCCACCCTGAGTGTCTGCAGCCTGGTCCCGCCTGAGTCCGCCCACCCTCGGGAGGCTTCCCACGGACCACAGAGGTCACTGTCCTTGCTGCCCCGATGGAGGCCTCCCCACGATAACAGGCCTCATTTGTGCAGTGAGTGACCTGACAGGTAATTGTGGGAAGGGGATGTCAGGCGGCGGGTTCACCTTCCCAGGGCCGCTCACTTGGGCCGGCCAAGTGCCACATCCTGGGTGCCCAGGCGCCTCATTCTCGTAGGCCCATCGGAGCCAGCAGGGCACCCCGGAAAGGTCGGGCACCGTCCACCTCACTGGGCACCTACACGACCAATCATCACCGTCATATGTGAGACCTCAGACAAGGAACATGTCCTAGACAGAGGACACAGTGTCCCAGCCAGAGGGAACGGTGTCTCAGAGAGAGGGAACAGCACCCCAGCCAGAGGGAATAGCATCCCAGAGAGAGGGAATAGTGCCCCAGCCAGAGGGAACAGCACCCCAGCCAGAGGAAATAGTGTCTCAGGCAGAGGGAACAGTGTCCCAGACAGAGGGAACAGCGTCCCAGACAGAGGGAACAGTATCTCAGCCAGAGGGAACGGCATCCCAGACAGGGAGCAGTGCCCCAGCCAGAGGGAACGGTGTCTCAGAGAAAGGGAACAGCACCCCAGCCAGAGGGAATGGCATCCCAGAGGAAACAGTGCCCCAGCCAGAGGAAATAGTGTCCCAGACAGAGGGAACAGCATCCAGAGAGGGAACAGTGTCCCAGAGAGTGGGAACAGTGACCCAGACAGAATAGTATCCCAGAGAGGGAACAGCATCCCAGAGAGAGAACAGCGTCCCGGACGGAAAAACCAGGGCAAATGAGAAATCCTGACCATCTGGAGAATGGGGACATGCACCTGGAGATGGAAGAGATGGAATCTTAGAGTTGGAGCCAGGATGGGTCTCCCAGCCGTAGGCAGCCAGGGGGCTGCGCAGGTGAGTGATGCCCCATTCAAGGCTGGGTTTAACATCTTTCCTATGGTTTAACTTCCATACTCACGCCTATACTGAGGTAGGTGTGTCACTTCCCACATGTGTCAGTGGGAATCAGAATCCACCCAGGGCAGGTCTGAAGGATGAGGTGAGGTCGGGGCTCCCAGCACCGACCACTGACAGGGGCCAGCAGGTGCACCACTGTCAGTGTTCTGGGTCCAAGGACATCTCCATCCCTGGGCTCCCGAGGGGCTCAGGGCAGCAATGCCCCGTTTGTCTCCAGGGCCTTGTTTAGCCCCCATCTGAGCTTTGGACTCAGCAGACCAACCAATGTTCAGGCCTCTGCATGTCAGGGCACACAGTCCCGTCCAGCTTCAGAGACCCCTGGACTGTAGGAGGTGCTGGTCTTTGCGGGGACCCAGACATTAACCCCAAGGAGGGGAACCAGGGCCCCCAGCATCCTGCAAACACCCAGCTGGAGACAAACCACTTCCTCCCTGCACACCCGGCCCCGCCCGGCTGAGCTGTCAGGCTCTGAAGGGTTGAGTTGGGCCTGGCCGGGCAACTTGCAGGCTAAGGCCCAACGCCCCCTGTTTCCTCTCCTGCGGGAGTGGCCAAGGCCACGAGCCCCGAGGGTCCCAGGAGCCAGGTGCTGTGGGCACAGCTGTGCTCCTGGACACACCCCCCTGCTCTGCACAAACACGCTGGAGTCTGGCTCCACCCATAGCCACCCGTGATGCCCCCCACCCAGGAGTCTGCATGTGGGGTTCCCAGAGGGTCCTCCTCCCCAGTAGTGCCACCACAGCCAAGCCCAGTCAGTGTCTAAACTGCAGATTGCAGAAGAACCTTCCAGAGCCGCACTGCGTGGGAAGGCCTAGGCGGCCAGGGACTGTGTCTGGGACCACCCACCCCCTCTCGGCCCAGGCGAGGGAAGACCAGCACTGGCCAGGGCCTCGGTGACAGGTGCGCAGGCGGGGCCCACGGGGGGTCGCCCTGAGCCGGTCAGCCTCAGATCCCGGCCCCTTCCGGGCTCCGTTCATCTCAGCTAGTCTGAGCAGCCCCAGACGGCCCCCGGTGCGGTCCTGGCAGGCGGCACGTTTGCTGTGGACACGGCCCACAGCAGGCTGGTTCTTCGCAGGCGGGCCCCCCGGGAGGCTGGGGAGCGCGCACGACACACCGCTCAGGGGCCACCACGAGGCTCCTGCCTCGAGGCCGCCAACCCCAAATGGCTCCTGCTCTGAGCACCCTCGTCCCCAGAAGCACCGCTTGCAGTACCAGCACAGGCTGTGGGGGCCGGCAAGACCCCGGAGCCAGCGCCACTCACCTGCCCTCGGTGGGAGCGCGCGCTTCTGTCCGGGGCGGACTTCTGGCAGCAGCGAACACAACTTCCTTTTGCGAGTTTTGCAACACGGGTCACCAAAGACGTTGCCTTTGCATTTCCGCATCGTCACACGCCCAAGCTCATTGGTTCCCCAGCTGCCTCTTCTGTGAAAATACAGCCCAAACCGGCTGGAGAGCTGTCCAGGCCCCGGCGAGCCTCTGCACCGTGGCCTGCGGTGGTTTACCAGTGCCCCGAGCCGGTGAGGGGGGCCCAGTCTCCCAGCCTCCACCTCGCCTGTGGGCTTCTCTGCACAGAGCTGCAGGCACAGGACACTGGGACCCTGCGGGTGTCCAGCAGGCCTGAGCACTGAGGTCCCCCAGCTGAGGGAGGGCCCAGTGACCATCAGAGGAACGGTGAAAGGGCCCACCCTACCTACAGCGACAGCTCCGTGACCTCGGGGAGTAAATACTGGAAGACGTGGAATCCTACAGAGCTTAGACCACAAGTTCTGCCCACATTCCAATGGTGGCTTCTTCACCGAGATGTGATGCATCTTTAGAAACAAAGTGATTCTGTGAGCTTTGATGTCCTTGTTGCTAACTGGGGGTCACCATGGAACCCCCCCGGGACAACACTGCACATATAGGGAATGTGTGACTGTGAAGAAATGAGTGAAGGAGAAGCTAGTGGGGTTCTCAAGCCCGTGAGGACCTACCTTGTGCCTCCCCAGAGCCCACGTGCTTCCCAGTGGGGTCCACACAGCACGCTCACTCCCATGCCCCGTTGATGGGGGCAGTCAGGCTGCAGATACTACCCACTTTACTTCCAGGTAGTCTCCCTTCTAACCCGAGATCTGAGGAAGTCTGTGAGGAAGGCGCTGACTGGCACATCACAGTGCGGGCCATCGTGTGCGTGGACGCAGACGCGCTTCCCTCCAGGAAGGTGAAGACCAAGGTGAGTGCACATTCTGTATGCCCCCCACCCCCGCAGCCGCCACCTCGCTGAGGACTCAGAGCTGCCCCATCCGGCAGGTGACAGGACGCTGGCTGTGGAGCCCCATCAGGACCGGAGGACCCAGGCCCAGAGCCCGCTGCGCAGAAGTGACCTACAAAGGCAGGGATGAGGGCGTGCAGCGCGGCAGCGAGCCAGGCATGACCACCCGAGGCTGATAAAGAAAAGTGGAGTGGGGGGCACCTGGGTGGCTTAGTCGGTTAAGCGTCCGACTTTCGCTTAGGTCATGATCTCGTGGTTCGTGGGTTCGAGCCCCGCGTCGGGCTCTGTGCTGACTGCCAGCTCAGAGCCTGGAGCCTGTTTCAGTCTGTGACTCCCTCTCTCTCTGACCCTCCCCTGCTCACGCTCTCTCTCTCTCTCTCCCTCTCCTAGAAATAAATAAAAATATTAAAAAAAAAAAAAAAGTGGAGTGGGATGTGGCCTGGCTGGAAAGCATCCTGGGAGGGCTCATGTCAACCAGGGAGGTGGCACCAACCAACAGGGAACACGCTGTGGCAGCGGCTCCCAGGACAGCCCGGGGACAGTCACATCTGGGTGTTCCTGTGCTGCATACCTGTGCCCTTTGTGTGGAGGTGACCTGGTGACACGGCCGCTGGGACACCAGAAACAAAGAGGGTGGCCTCCAAGCTCAGGTCTGCCTTCCCCTCCTGGGCCGTTTGGCTCCAGGGGGAGGGGGGCCACTGCCACGCGCTCAGGACCCTCGGCCCGCAGTGCAGAGAAGCCCCGTGTGGGCAGCAGCGGAGGCCGCCAGCCGCCAGCCGGCACAGCCTGCCTCAAGGGAGAGCGAGGGCGTGGACTCCTGCCTGTCAAGCCATCAGGTGAGACCACAGCCCCGGCCTCACCAGGCACCTTGACCAGAGCTAGGCTGCACTCAAATTCTCGACCCACTAGCCCCAATGGGACTGATGTGTTTACTGTCATTTTAAGCCACAGTTTGGGTTGTTTGTTATGCAGCGATAGGTGGTAGAATGGGGTCATCAGGAAGAAGGGCAAGGGGTAACCTGAGGTCGAAGGAGCCAGGCCACAGGGGAGAGGTCTCTACAGGCATTCTTTCATTGACCACAATTTTCCCATCCAATTATTTCATTAATGGTCCAACAGACCAAACGGGGTCCTCAGACTCTGAAGGGCTCCCCGATGGCGGCAAAGACCCATTCTGTGCTGCTCACTCTAGGTGACCCAAGGGCTTTGTGGGCTCCGCTGCTCTTCGGGGCGAGGGGGGTGGGCTGCTCACATGACACAGCCCTGGATGGTGGGAACCGTGTGCCCACTCCGCTCCTGCCCCTCATTGAAAACATCCAGACTTAAGGTGTTTATTTCTTTATAAAGGAAAAAAAAACACTTGTCAAGGTAACCAAATTCTCTCTGCTCTCTTTTGATAGAATTCTGGGCACAAACAACATTAAAATTCCATGCTTACTGAACACATTACCGTGCCCCAGATCAGACGCAGGTAAAGCCTGAGTCTGTAGCTGGTGGCGTGTCCCCCAAGCTAACTTCTGGTCAAACGGAGCCCGTTGTGTGGACGTGGACCTTGGGAGAAGCTGTTGTCTCTGCAACTCGCCTGTGCCTCTAAAATTATTCCAAAATCAATACTTAAAGTTTTAATGGATGAAGCGATCGTGTTGTGGGACCACGAGCCACGTTGTTTTCCCTCAGAATCAAGCTTCTCACAGCATTTCACGTCCTGAATAACTTTAACCAGGCATTTGACGTGAGGGACAAAGGTGGTAACGAGGGTCACTGGGTGCAGGGCCGTCTGCTGTTTTCATGTGCGGGGCTGGGGGACTGCCTCCGCTCAGCCCGCACTTGCTTTTGTTGCAACACGGCTTGGTTTTGCGTTTTTCTCTAAGATTCGGACGCTGGGCTCCATCGGAGCACCCGGCTGCTGGGTGGAGGGGCAGGGACTCCTCATGGGCTGAGCTGGCTGGTCCCTAAAACGGGATGAAGTACTGGCCACGAAGTGTTCTAGTTGTGAGTACTGTTTTCTTTTAAGATGGTTCTGAGGAAAAAGCCTACCTATGTGGGGAGACCACAAATAGGGCCGAATATTGACACTTGATAAGTGAAGAAGGATGGGGGAGCATGGAGGAGCACAGGAGGGGAGGATGGGGAAGCAGGGGGGAGGAGGGGGA